GCAATAGGAAGGCAGGGTATTCTTCTTCTTTCTGACTCTATCTGTCTCCTCAACAACTTGCAAGATAATAGCGGTAAGGATGTTTCGATTACTTGGTTGATTAAGGAAATTAGGGAAGTAGGGGCTACCTTTAGGAGATGTGCAATATTAAAGGTGCCAAGGGAACAGGTAAAGAGGGCCAACGACATGGCTAGAAGATATCGTGTTAGTTTGTTTAATTTTCCTTAGCTTGTTGTTCCTTTGCTCTTGTAAAAAAAAAATAAAAAATTATACTACCTCTGTTTCTTTTTAGTTGACACGTATTTCTTTTTAAGAAGTTTTTTTTTAGTTGACACGTTTTCTTTTGTGGTAACCTTTTAGGCTTTTACCTTGTATTTACAAGTTACCCCACTTGCTTTTTCATTTTCTATCACTCTCTCTCCCGTCCTTAATATACGTGCTTAAATCAAAAGCGTCAACTAAATATAAACGGAGGAAGTAGTATATACTGATATAATAGTGATTAAGGGCGTGTTCGGCGCTAGCTTTTGAGTAGCTTTTAGGTAGCTTTTAGTGGTTTGACCAAGTTAAATCACTACTTGACAAAAAAAATGTGGGTGTTTGGCAAAGTAGTGGTTAAAATAGCTTTTAGTGGTGGAGGTAGCTTTTATAAAAAGTTAGAAAGATTAGCTTTTAAAATTGGAGGTAGCTGTTGAAAATTTATCTATAGTTTTAAAAATAAAATGTTGATTTTTATATGTAACAGCTAGCTCCACAGCTACATCTACCTTCACAACTATATTTTGCCGAACAAGCCCTAATTCAATCACTAACTCAGTGGTCTATTAAGGCGTTGGAAAATCTTCATTACATTAACATAACCAAGCCCACCCATTATCATAAACATTTAGCCCACAATAACTTCCTTAAGCTAGTGTTATACACGTCCAAAGTAGATTTGAGGAAAGTGTAGTTAATTAAAAGAGGGGTGTCTGTGTTTGTACTCGCTTGTATAAGGTGTTACCAGCTAAATTGAAGACATTAAGGCTAAGTGGACGACTGGTCGACTCCTACTATATGGATTGATTTTTTAAGTGACACCATACCCATTGTCGAGTTTGGTTGTTTATAATTGTTCATCAGAGTTTGGTTGTTTATAATTGTTCACCAAACCTTTGTTAAGAGCACAATTTTATTCACAAGTTCATCTCATGATTAGTAAAAATAAACACAAACATTATTCATTTAAAATCACCACTTATTGATTGAAAATCATCACTTATCTACGCCACACCGTTCCCTGTCTTACTTTCCTCAATTTCCTCTATTTATCAAATTCATAAACGAGTCATGTGATAAAGCCCTAATCGCCAACACAATCAACATTTTCAATCATTTAAGGACGGAGTAGCAACGAGAATCATGAAAAAATAAAGCACTTCCTAATAGAAATTTTGCATTTTTAACACACTGAGCATAGAAGGTTCAACGACAGATATAAAATAAGTTCTCAAAGGCTAAGTTTTCTAGTCGAGTATTTTGCCTCAAAGAAAGGTCTCAAAAACAAAATTATCCTACAAGATGATAAACAAAACTAGCTGCATATGGCAACCATAACGGATGTACTAACGAGAAAAATTAAGCAGCAGCAACTGCTTTCTCATTAGTTGATCTGGTGTAAATCTGCAAGCTTGAGTGATGAGCTACCATCTTAATAGCACCCCTTGTCACGAGCTCTCTGATGGCCCTCCTTGCAAGAGATCCATTGATCTGATAGAAGAAAACCCAAAAACGTTTTAGATGAATCAGTAAAAGGAATTAGTGTAGCTAAAATTTTGATGTTGCAAAGATAACAACACTGACATCAGCAACATAACATTGATCTCAGGGCTAATCAGCAATAGCTTAACAATGCCATAAGAACTTGCATACTTTCGAATACTTATCAGCTGTTTCAATACTAACAAAGGCATAGGCAGAAAAAACAATAAAGCTGAGGGAATCATCACCAGGTTCCCAACCATAAATAAATATACCCGATGAGAGGGTCATTTCAATTTAGTTTGATCAGTCACTCGTCTCACTCCAAAATAAAATCAATTCCAATGAGATGATTAAGGTGCCCCTCCTCTCAAAGGGATATAAAAATGTAACCAATCACCTCTCCACTACGCGATTTGTTAAGCAAAATAACACTTACGGTCAAACTATATGAATAGCTCACCCATCAAACAATCTAATTGCTTCATTGCTTTACCTTATCATATACTTAGTTCACACTATGAAATCTCCCAATATTAGTCACTCTAACAAATCTCGAAAATCATAAATTCCACAAATCAATCTTTTGTGTATATCAATCAAAATTGTTCACCTCACATTGCTTTATAACACAACCAAATGCAATACAAAAGACAGAGAAACTACAACTACAAACAGTAACAGCTGGCCACTTAATTATCATGATAGTAATGCCGTAATACATTTGCAGTAATCTCTAAACAAAATAGCTAGAAATGAACACTAAATTCTGACTAAGAAACCCTAAATCTTACAACAATTTCATTGTCCCTAATCAAGAGAAAATCATTGGAAACCCAACAATCTTGATAAATGCACAAACACCACTCCTAAACGCACTACTACACATCGTAATATAAATCAAATAAATCAGATCACATAATAAACACCTGTTTTATTCTTTTTTAATATATTTTAAAACCCTAACTTACACAATCAAGTCAAAATACCCAAATTGATTACAAACCCTAACAAATATCTGAACTTTAAAGCAAAAAAATCAAATCAAATTAAAAAATAAAAGAGTGAGATGAAATTAAAGAGAAACCATACCCTGAAACGCTCAGAAAGAGTAGCAGCAGTAACGACCTTTTGCTTAGCAGCTTCAGAAAGAAGCTTATCAAAAGTGGCGTTATCAAACAACACCAAGTTGTTCACCTTTTCCTTTTGCTTTCCCTTACTCCACTTCTGCAATTTTTACCCAAAAAAAAATCTATTAAACATACAAATTATCAAAGATAAAGAAATTAGGAAATGAATTATCAAGAAATTAACCTTCTTCTTTTGCTTTCCACCTCCAGATTTAGCCGGTTTTGATGAAGGTGCAGCCTTGGTATCCTTCTTTGGAGCCTGAAAATTAATCGAAAAAAAACCCAGAAAATTAAAATCGAACAATAAAAGATGAAAATCGAAGATCAAATCTCTGAAATTAGAGGAGAGAGAATTAGAGAGAAATGAATACCATGGTTGATAAGAGGCAGAACTACAATGAAGAGAGAGAAAGTGAAGGAAGGATATAATAAAAGGGGTGAAGCGAATTAGGGTTTTAGATGAATATATATTCCTGTTTTTTAGGTTATGAAGGGTTATTGGGTTTGGGCTGCGTGAGTTTTAATAATAGGGCTTTTGATAATATGGGTCTAGGACTTGGACTCTCTTTAGAATTGGTATTTGATTCAATCTCAAACTCTGATACAGTTGTTCGTTTTATGTCAAAAATCAGAATATGGATCTAGTACTAACTAGTAACCACACCAACATAGTGTATTCTGTATAAGACCTATTCGGTATCCTCTTACTAAACCTGTTAATTTTCGACTCGTCCGCACATCCGATCAGAAGTCCACCCATTTTTGTGGGTTTTGAACATAATTCTATGAACCGTAATCCGATTTAACCCAAACTTGTTTAAACCCAATAATTTGTAGGTCAAACCCAACCCGAACCCATCCCGTTGACCGTTTTTATGTTTTATTTGAAAATTAATATCTTTAGTCTATTGGTTGAGTTTGATCATTTATTTACCATCCGACATTCATTTCTCTATCTCATTTTTCCATTTCTTAAAATTATTGCTCAGATCCACACTAACAACCTTGTACATCAACTATCGACCTACACCAATTGCATCCGCATAATTTACATCACCTTCATGCCACGTTGGCCTGGCCTATTTCTTTAATGTTTAAAAGCTAGTTTTTTTTTAATTATTATTATCATTTTTTATTAATTAGAAATTAGTGTGCTTTGGTGACGATTTAAATTATGGAGTAGGCATGTAACGGCTAAAAACAATATCGGTGATAATTTTCGATTAAAAAAATAGGGAATAAAAAAAAAGTAAGCTTAAAATATCGTAATTATTTAAAAATTAGTCAAAAATAAGTTAAATAAAAAAATTATTCTAACCCCGTTGGGTTGGCCTGCACCTGAACCTTTGGGTTAAGTTTGAGCATTACTCGATCTGTGACCCGAAGTGACCTTACCTAAGATAACCCCTGACCCGACCCAATTGACTCGATTTACAGGTCTACTTCTTATTATTAACTTTAGGATAGACAACAAGGCAAGTATGAAAAAATTTTGCGTTCGGAATCACAGGGAAATGGGTATAAATTGTTAGACATTTCATATAACTTTCTGAACATCAAAATATTACATCAGTTTTTGAAGATTTTATTATACATCCCTTGTTTATTTATTTATTTTTTATTATTATTTTAGCTTATCAATATTAAACATGTCAACTAATTTGTAAAAATATATATTTTTTTTTGACAAAAAATAAAATATTTTACTTGTACTCCATATATGTAGTGCTCCCTTTATTTTTATTTAAATGATTTAGTTTGACTTTGACACTATTCACCTGCACGGCTGCACCACTTTAACCATTATATGTGTTTTATATGTAAGACAAAATATGATCAATGAATACTTGTTAGAATCGTCTCGAAGTATAGTTTTCAAATATCCACTTTTATAATTTATACTACGTACTTGTTAATAATTAAAAGGTTAAAACTATATGCAACCCTTAGACTTGCAAATAAAAAGCTAAAAGTGGAAAGAATAGATATCTATACTTAGTCTTTAAAAACTCTAACCATGATACACACATGTCTTCATCCTATGTTCTCTTTTCCAATCCAATGTGCCACATGCTCACTATTCCAATCCAATGTGCCACGTGTTCATTATTCTAATACAATGTGCCACGTGTACAAATCAATATTTAAATGGAAAGTAATTAGTCATCAAATTATTAATATTAATTAAGAATTTAAAACTGAGCATAATTTAGAGATATTAGTTGGAGTAAAAGCTAAACTGTTTGGATTTTATGTTAGCTAAAAGCTAGCTTTGACCTTTCATTCCACCACACAATTTAATATGGAGTATATGTAAATCTGTAAATAAAACCAAAAACCCACCATAATCCGATGGCCGCTTCATCTTCATCAGCAAACCCACAAATAATTCCACACTCTTCCTCTTCATCTCCCCTCTTCAATTCCCACAAATTAAATTCCTTTAATCATGTTTTCGGTTACAAATTCTGAACATAATAATGATGTATGTTAATGCTTTTTTAGTACGGAGATTTATTCAATCATCTGCCACTACAATATTAATTCTATATAACATAGTAATTCCATCATCAAATTCACATGTAGATTCACATTTGGTGAGTGACTATCATCTTGTGCCTTTTATTATTATTATTATTATTATTATTATTATTATTATTATTATTATTATTATTATTATTATTATTATTATTATTATTATTTTTGTAGAATTTATATTTAAATTTTCGCTGAAATTGAAATAAAATTTAAACTGTGAATTTTTGTTAATTGGAAAATTGTTAATAAGCCTAAGTCTAGCTAATACTCAAATTTTAATCCGTTTACAGGAATGATGAGTCAATCCCGGAAATACAACCACTTGAAGACAAATAAAATCCACAACATACAAAATGGAGGAGACTAAATATGAAGACATGACGGGAAAATGTGGATGCTACAATATGAAGAATGCTATCTCATTCGGCCATTCCCCAACTATCTTATGTAAACATAGTTACTTAAACATATACTCAACAATATTTTGCTAATCTAACTTCCTAATTATTGATTGCTTACCAATCCATTGAATGCCAACTTCAACATATTATAATGCAAAACAACAACAACAACAAAAAAAAAAAAAGTTATTGTTCCTCACAAAATAAGTCACGACCAAAACCCCCGATGTCTCCATACTACTATTTGTCTATTTCATGATTAAATAAAACTACATGCACCAAAAAAAAAAAAAACACCAATAACAAGCTCGTACATTGTACGGGACAAAAGACTAGTTAAATAAACATTTATACACCAATTTACTCCTAAACTGTCTATGAATTCTAAACTGTTTACTAAAAAAGTAAGTATCTTAAATGTTTATATAGCATTAGCCCTAATTAAAAATATCATTAATCAAAGTTGTGCATAGAAAAAAAAAAAAAAAAAAATAAAAAATAAAATAAAAAAAATCATCATGTTTTGAGATGCAATTCTTGACTTCTTTTCCCAAGCCAAACTGCCAAAGTCTATTGTGTAACATGCATTTGTTCGGACTTGCTGTGTCCCTTTCTATCTGACCACTTTGTTTGTGTAATTTGGGATATTGGACTTCTATTAAATGTGGGAATTTGTGGGCCAATTATAATTGACATTCTACGGCCCTAACTTATGTTATGGGCTTTAATCCTTGTTGGGCCCACTTCTGTGATATGTCCAGCTGGGACCCTATCGCAATAAAATGACTTAAGAAATTTCTACTTTTTTTGTGGAAAAAAATATGAACCGTGAATTCCTGACACGTGTGCGGTCAGGAAGATATTTTCAATTTTTTTCCAGAAAATTATTGGCATCCTGTGATCTGGTAAACTCCAACCTTTGTAGTTTACCTTCATTTTGCACAAGTTAAATCATACTGTACTAAAAAATATGGTCCTTACCTTCTATGTTTCCAAATCAAGTGTATAATTGATCCTTGTTACCTAACAGTAGTTCTTTGACTCAATACTTTGTTTCCTCTTGGTAGTGTATGCTAATCATTCATCTACAATAAAATATCGTTGTTTTTTGTTGGTCGTGTAACACCGGAGTATGAACATGTAATGTAAAAACCAAATTTGATTAGGGAACGTTTAATTATATAATTAATCTAAATTTTTTTTCATAAAATTATTATTCTTTTTTTTTTCTTTTTTTTTTTTTTACTTAGCATAATTATGAAAAGAAATCAAAATAAGTACATTACTATATGTAGTGTTTATACTAGTTTGTCTTCCAAGATTACTATATTAGGTTAATTTCCCCAATAGTGAATCTTGTTTGATACTTGCACTAGTTGAGCACTTGAGCTATAGAAAATGACCAGAAGATTACAGTGATTCATTATCATTTATCAACCTTCTAGGCCATGCTTCCAATAATGCTATTATCAATTCAATGGATGCTCAATTTTACTTATTCGTAGATGATGTATCAAAACTAAAGATTATAGAATCTCATTTATATCAATTTTCTATTTTGGTTCTTTATGCAGAAAACTAAACACAAATATTTCGTATATAGATTCAATTTTACATATAAATTTCCAATGATTATTCCTAACACGTAATTGAAATAATACAAGAAGCGAGAATGTTACATTACTAAACTATACGGTATATCTAACTCCAAATCTTTCTTTTAGAAAATTGAAACAAACAAAATTCATATATCCTATTCTTGCAAAAGATGATTTATCACATCGTCCTTACTCCTCTTTTCATATAATCTCGTATAATTAACAATAAAGGTTTTTGAAACAACTCTTTATAATAGTTGTAGTTGATTAGTTAAATTATCATTACGCTTTTATCGTTATACAATCTTAGGGCCTGTTCTCATTGACTGAACTCGGCTGAACTGAACTGAATTGAGCTGAACTGGACTGAATATTTTATAAGAGGAGGAAATTAGGAGCTGAGCTGAACTGAACTGAACTAAACTAAGCTGAACTGAACTGAATTGAGCTGAGCTGAACTGAACTGAACATAAGAGAACAAGCCCTTAGTATCAATTTTTTGAAAAACCAACTACAAAGCCTAATGTTTGCTTTGACAATTAGATTTTAAAATTAGTTTTTTTTTTTTTTTTTTTTTGCAACATCAATGGCTAATATTCATCTTGCATGCATTTCAAAATAAAAAATAAAAGTTCAATAAAAAATAATTTAAAACTCTCACTCTCACAACTCTACAACTCTATAATTTCCAAACTCTAGAGGATCTCAACTCATATACTTGTATATTGAAATTATTTTTAAAAAATCTCTAATAATCATTTTTTTTTCCCCACAAATTATAATATGTAGTTAAAAATGATCGTCAAATTAGAGTTGTTTGGTAAAGTTTAATTAGTTGATTACAAATCTGAAAGAGTAAAACTTGTATTGGAAATAAGATTAATTAGTTGGTTTGTGTTGATATGTAATATCATTTTTTTTTACCGTGTGTTAGTTGTTAATACAAAATTTCTACGTACATCTAATTATACTCCGATCTGTGTGTGAGTATTAAAACTCTTTGTTAGAGTTGTGCACGCGTCAAATTATAACACCGTATGTTCTTGGGTACTTGAGATATGAGATTCAAGGGCATGAAACAATTAGTGCTACCTCCTAATGAGTTAGTAAATTGTCCTAAATACACATTGTACATTCCTCCTCCTCCTCCTCCTCCTCCTCCTTCTTCTTCTTCTTCTTTTTTTTTTCTTGTCTCGATCTTTATTTATTTGCTATTAATGGTATTTAGAGTGACTTTTTTTCCTTTAAGCATGTAATGCACGGCATTATCCTTGTCTAGCAAATTGGCATTGCTACAAGGGATAAGAAGTGGAGTTTTGGACCAATCTATTGGCTAGTAGGATCGTTAGTACATTAATGCAATCCCTTAATCTTTTTAAGCATATCTAATTTTAATTGGAGCTTGACCTTTTCCAAAAGTATAAAAAAAAATAGAGAAAAAAAAAACAAAAAAAAGTTGATTCAAAGTTTTTGACTGTTTAACCACCGAGAAAGGAAGGATTATCCGCTGTCTTGTTCGTTGGTTCACATTTGAGGTGTTTGATACAAAATTGACGCTTGATAGGGATATATTTGTGATATGTCCTCTTGTTTTCTCAAACTCCCTATCTAAATTAAATGAAAATCAATTATGCTGAAATTGGAGTTGAGATCCTCTAGAGTTTGAAAATTATAGAGTTGTAGAGTTGTGAGAGTGAGAGTTTTAAATTATTTTTTATTGAACTTTTATTTTTTATTTTGAAATGCATGCAAGATGAATATTAGCCATTGATCTTTTGTGGAGGGTCTAGATTTATTGAACTCTATAGAGTTCAACTCTAGAGGATCCAAACCCCAAGTATATGTATTTTCAAATTAGTTTTCTCGTTGAAAATTAAATGTATTAACAACCTAAATACTTTTTTGTCCTCGAATAATTGACACAATTAAACGTGACAATTTTATTTGTCAAATTTTGACTCACTTACTATTCATGCATACAAAATAAATTAAGTTTACTTACGGAGTATATTTTATGGTTAAATAATAGAAATAAATTAAGATGTAATATCTTATTAGAATTCTCTTATTATACAGAGTAACATTTTCAAATATCAATTTTTATAATTTTCAATTATACCACGATCATTGTGATATTGATATAAAATGTTCATTAAAAATTGTGCTACTACGGAGTATAAAGTGAATTGAAGATATACATTACTCGGTAATTATTTGAAAACGAAGAAAGATTTTTTTTTTTTTTCCACGTTAATCAAACATTGCCTAATTTGTCTGCCTGTCTCTGAATATGGACAGGTGTTTGGCTACTAGTGACTAATGAGTGGGATTTTTAAGCAGCAATACACGGAAAGCAATGATATCATCTTGAAAGCCAGTAATTACATTTTACAAACCAAAAATTACTTTATAAATTTATTTTATTGGGTCAAACTCAAAGTGGCCTTAAATAAAAATTCACTCTTGCACATTTTAAGAGAGAGAAAATAGAACAAAAACAAATAAGGAAGAAGATTTCACTGTCAATAAATTTAGTTTTTCAAGGCATATAAAAATAACAAAATAATTTTCCAGTTATCATAAGAAGAGGATTCTCGTGAAAAGAGGGCTCACAGGCCAATAAAGCCCATATTTTCACCATCATTCATGCTTGTTTGCCTCCTTATTTAGTCTTCATCTTCTACCATTTCTTCATTCTCCATTATTATTCATCTTTGCAACTTTTGGGTGTAATTCCTATTTCAAAGGTAACAACTTTTCTTATGCCACTCTTGTTAGATTTTTACGTGCGAGATTTGATCTCATGTCTTGAGTACCATCTGTCACGACTTTTATGTGACATGATATTGTAAACTATATGTTGTTTGTTTATAATGTTGCAATTTATATGTTGTTAGTTTATAATGTTGCAAATTATTTGTTGTTTGTTTATAATGTTGCTTGTTTTAGTGGGTTTGCTTTGTTAATGGAGTTTTAATTATAGTTTTTGTAGTACCAATATAACACATGGAACAATTATTTTAGAAATTTAAGTACAATTTTGTGATCTAATTACTTTACTTTGGTTTACTTGGTTGCTTAGATTGGAGTTGGTACTTTATTTGTTTTCTTAGGATTCTTCAATCTTCATCATCATCATCTTTATCTTTTTTCAGGTCTTCTGATTTGTAGGTCATTCCTAAAAATAAAAATTACCCAAAAAAGAAAAAAAGTTAAAATTTTTGGGATGGATTCTTATTGTGCAACAATTGGAGCAAATACCAAATTAGCAAGAACTGGTAAAAATTATGGAGAAAATTGTATTTGGGGAGAGAAAATCAGAGGTAGTTTAAAAAACTGCAATGTGTTGGTAAATCATTTGCCAAGGAGCTTGAAGACTGATCAAAGAGGCAGAAAGATTAACCCTGGTGTTGCTTTTTCTGTCTTGACATCAAACAATGTCACTGAGACACTTGTAAGTTCAATTTTATTGTAATTTATCTTTTCAGTCTTTTAAATTTGATTTGATTTATGCCCTTGTACAAGTTATGTTGATCATTATATCGTTGTATGTGTGTAAAGTGTCACACTTCGACGTCATTAAATCTATTTTTGCTAACACGTTCTGCATTTGTACTCGTATTTTCTTATGCCATAGTTCAATATATTTTTGTATGACCAGTTTGGTCTGAAATAATATGATCACGCATATTCAATCTATTATTGTATATCTGTATGACCACCCGTAGTTCAATCTATTGTTATTGTTAATACGAAGTATTTCATATGATGAGTGTAGTGTACTATTCCAAAGAAAAATTAGTAGGTTCTTTATTTTAATTTTCAAAACATTTAAATTTATTGCAGATTAGGGAGGCACCAATCGTCGAAAGGAAAAGTGCTGATCCTAAAAATGTGGCATCAATTATACTGGGAGGTGGTGCAGGAGCTCAGTTATTTCCACTAACCAGCAGAACAGCAACACCTGCTGTAAGTAGACCTTTGGAAATATGTATAGAACTATGAAGAGTAATATTATGGGCCAATTGTGTAAATGTTATGCACATAAATGTTGTGCAACAAATAAAGTTTTGTATCTGGTTTTTGGTTTGGACCATGTATATTAAATAAAGTATGATGCAGGTTCCTGTTGGAGGATGCTACAGGCTTATTGATATTCCAATGAGTAACTGCATCAACAGTGGTATAAACAAAGTATTCATATTAACTCAGTTCAATTCAGCTTCCCTTAATCGCCACATATACCGTACTTATCATGGGAATGGTATCAACTTTGGTGATGGATTTGTGGAGGTAAACTTCTGATGCAGTATACCATAGCCCAATTTAAGATGTAGATTTGAATTTTTTTTAATCATATATGAGTAGAAAAAATGACCGGAAATTATGTTACAGGTTTTGGCAGCTACACAAACACAAGGAGAAGCTGGAAAGAACTGGTTCCAAGGAACAGCTGATGCTGTCAGACAATTTATATGGCTGTTTGAGGTAGGACAGTTGATTTCATAGTTTTTTACTGTTATTTGGAAACATAGATTCAGATATATTGGACTGTGGTAAAAGGGTATGTGCTGAATGTCTCTAATACATACAGGACGCGAGGAATAAAAATATTGAGAATATTCTGATCTTGTCTGGTGATCAGCTCTATAGAATGGACTATATGGATCTTGTGCAGGTATTGATTGAGTTTCTTCTTGATTTCAATCATATAAACTGATCATCATATAATGATTTTTACTATAATTTACTTGCAGAATCACATTGACAGAAACTCTGATATCACAGTTTCTTGTGTTCCTGTGGGTGAGAGGTATGCTGGCACTTCCGTCTGTGGTGGTTGATATTCTTTCGTAATCTGAAAATCTATTTGTTCATATATTTATATAAGTTTCCTGTTTGTATCTGGCTTCAAATTTACGCCTTCTTCCAGCCGTGCATCGGATTATGGACTGATGAAGATAGACAGCAGAGGTCGAATTGTCCAATTTTGGGAGAAACCTAAGGGAGCTGATCTGGAAGCAATGGTGACCCAATCTTTCTACGATTTTTTATGTTCTTTGTCTATACAACTTAATTTGGTGAACACTAAATCCTTTTCGATGTTTGGTTTGCTGCAGAAAGTGGACACACAAATTCTGGGATTATCTCGAGAAGATGCTTCAAGTAGTCCTTACATTGCATCCATGGGAGTTTATGTGTTTAAGACAGATGTTTTACTTAAGCTTCTGAAACAGTCATACCCAAAATCCAATGACTTTGGGTCTGAAATCCTTCCTTCTGCTGTCAAGGAGCAGAATATTCAGGTATGTCATAGTTAAAATGGTCTCATGCTGATTTTCCTTCTCTTTGTTGGATTTAGTACACTTCAATCACCTTAGATGATATCAGCATTCTGATATACGAAGTGTTTTTTTGTGTCTTATCAGGCATATCTGTTCAGAGACTACTGGGAAGATATCGGAACCCTGAAGACTTTCTTTGATGCTAATTTAGCACTCACCAAAGAGGTGATCAAGCTTCTTAATCCACAGTTTGATAAGTCATCTTTATAAAACATGCCTGTATTGACATTGAGATAAACTGTTGAATAACACAATTCAAATCATCTTGTTTTATTTTCAAACAGTCACCAAAATTTCAGTTTTATGACCCAAAGACGCCCTTCTACACATCCCCTCGGTTCCTACCACCAACGAAAATGGACAAGTGCAAGGTATGCTCTACTCTAATAACCTTTGTTTCATAGTAGATGCAGTCACTAGTAGATTAATGACCTTATTTGAACTGTACAGATTAAGGATGCTATTATTTCCCATGGATGCTTCCTGCGAGAATGTACAGTTGAGCAATCTATCGTGGGAGAAAGGTCACGTTTGGACTCTGGTGTAGAGCTTAAGGTATAGATCTAGAAGTTTCCTATCTCTCAATCTGTGTAGTAGCATGGAAATTCTTTTTCTTCTTTTTTCCTGCTCTTTCAGTAATATCTGATAAGCTGTTCTTTTGGCCTTCCAGGATACCTTGATGATGGGTGCAGACTACTATCAAACTGAATCTGAGATTGCATCTCTTTTGGCGGAGGGTAAGGCACCAATTGGGATTGGCCGAAACACGAAAATCAGGTACACAATCTTGTCAGATTGGATTGCTGATCACACTTAACAGTATTTTTTTTGCTCTACTGAAAATAATTCAGATTAATAAAACAGTTTTATTACATGTGTGTCTAAAAAAGGCAATTCTTTCCTTTTGCAGGAACTGTATCATTGACAAGAATGCGAAAATAGGTAAAGATGTGATCATCACCAACAAAGATGTGAGCATACTTGACCTTATATATCCACCTTTATATGCCTTTTGTTTATTCTTTAATGCTTTTATTAGAACATGCACATTATTGTAAAGCACAAGACTGAACACTTGTCTTTTTTCGCTACATTTTAAGGGTGTTGTGGAAGCTGATAGGCCAGAACAAGGGTTCTATATTCGATCAGGAATCACCATTGTAGTGGAGAAGGCAACCATTGAAGATGGCACCATCATATAGTCATCTTCCAAGTTCAGCAATGAAACTTCTTCATACATTAAGGCTTGAAACAGGGGATTCGGATTAGGAACCTTCAGAGGACATTATGTCAAAAGGTGAGAAGTACTGTGAGCATGGACTACAACGAACAAGCTGCCAGAGATCATATATCGCCGTATGCCTTGTATGTTCAACTAGAGACCAGCTTGGCTATGCTGTGTACAAAAGAGAAAAGTGGAGAAATAATAATAAGCTGACCTCATGCTTATAATCATACTACTACTACTACTAGAACTACATTATATAGCAACATTCTGTCTGAAATGAGAGTTTTTGGAGTAGGGAATAATAATGTGTTCAACTATCAAATAATCATAGATTGAAATCTTGTATCAAACTTTAGTTTATACATCAATAAAAAAGTTGTACACTTTTGGCATTTACACAAATTCTTTCATGCTTTTTTATATTTTTTACTCTATCCTTTGCTTGACCATACTATCCCACATTTACGGATTTTTTTTTTTCTCTTTTAAATAAATTACTTAGAATTAATATTCAATAATCAGTTATTTTCTTAAAATTAAGAATTTGGTAGATCTGTGCAGCATTGTGGTATTTAATGTCAACTAAATCAATAAAATGATGTGATGATTTTCATAGCCATGTGGCAAATAGTGAAAATTTCAAGGAACAAAACCAAAACACGGAATTTAGCTTAATTAGTTATTCAGTTACAAATTTGCAAGCAATGTAACCAGTATTTTTTCACCTTGAAAAACAAAAGATGGAGAATGATTCAAAAGACTATTCCTCCGCTCTCCAAACCTACCTTAACAACATCTCCATCTCCTCCTTGCCTGGCATCAGAGATGCACCAGGTTAGTACCCTTCATTTCTTCGACAATTATCTAGTTGTTGTCATGTTTGTACGTTACTAGATCATTATCATATTACATTATCAACGTGACTATAATCTCGATGGAGGGAGTAATATTACTCACAACTGTCACAAGTCGTACTATGTGATCTTTTTGTTCACATAATGTTTTATGTTATCTAAATAGATCTAACTCCCCTTCTTTATTATTCTAACCTGCTGAACTATGTATTGATGGCACAAGTACTGGAAGTAAAGGCTGGGGATTCACTAAGAGATGCAATACGCTTGCTGTATGAGAAGAATGCAGCAGTAGCACTCGTCACAGACAACTCTAGTGCTAATAATGCTGCCATTTCAAGGCTTTCGGACCGCTACATCGGTGTCATTAGTTTTGCTTCCATGGTCCTATGGTGCATAGAGGTACAGTACCCTACTTGTCAAGTATACAAAAAAAACCATTCATCAGATAGTTTATTTGGATATATCAGTCACGATTTATTGTTTATTTGTATGCACAAGCTCCATATGTTATATGTACACCATATCAATGCTACAAGGTTAATTTCTATTGTGTAAACAGATGAACCAATGGAAAAAATAACTATCTTTTGCTTGTTTATTTTTGATATACTATATATATAAACATGATTACTTCATCTAATTTTGTCCAGTTTTTTAGTCCTGGTACTGTGGTCATTTAGTGATGATGAAATATTGCAGAGGCTTAAAAAGTATGAAACTAGTCAAAGCCAAAAGGAAGCTGGACAACAAGCTTTCGAAGGCTTCATCTCGAGGCTAGATCAGAATCCTGATTTGAAGCAAGCTAAGGTACAATTTTCTACTCTCCCTTTGTCCTCGCGAAGAATTATACAATAGCCCACTAGAGACTTTTTAATAAACATGTTATGTCATCATATAATAATTCAATAGGTGGGAGAGCTAGCGAAATACTTCCTATGGGATCCTTACATTCCTGTGCATTTGGAAGACGATACTCTCTTTCAAGTGCTCCTGCTGCTATCTAAGCATCAGCTCCTCGTTCTGCCTGTCATAGAACGAGCTACTGATCAAGTTATCGGTTTCATTTCACAGGTAATCTTCTTTTCCAAGCTTTACTGATAGATTTTCCATAAGTAAGACTGCAAAGATTTTTATTTTATACAACTGCAGAGAACTTATTATCTTCAGTTTGGTAGCAGAATGCTGTAGTCAAGTTTCTTCTCCGATCAAGTGGGTTAGAGTGGTTTGACAGCATAGCTAACGTTTCCTTGTCAAAATTTCGGTACTAAAACAAGTTCAAAGATAGTATATTTCAGGAAAATATTGAGAACACTAATCCAAGCAACATTAATGTCTGTGGCAGATTTCAGAGGAAGAACTCTGTCTATCAAGTATATGGAGATCAAAGTATTTCAGAAGCATTGTTAGTTCTGTCGGAAAACAGATTCGCTACTGTTGCTGCAGTAGACAGAATGACTGGAGAGGTGATTGGAACAGTAAGAAAAGATGACATCACCCTTCTAAACTACTATCAACTGTTTTCTAAGTCCAAGTGAGTTACATCTGTAGTAGTATTACCTGTAACTGTACTACTGTAGGCTCATTTTCGACGAGTTGTTGCTAAAACAGATTCTCTTGCTCTTGTTATAGGACTATGACTTTGGCAGAGTTCATTAAAATAGCCAGCAATGAGGACAGCTACAACCTTATTACTGAGAATCAGCAGCATGATCTGGTGGCCCAAAGTCTCCGCCTAAGAAATAATTTTATCCCGAGAATGGATTTACCAGTCATCCACAAAGAAACTGACACCCTTAAGCAGGTCATGGTAAAAATGACAGAGACAAACAGTGAATCCAGCTTCATAGTTGATGAATCGAACAGAATGATCGCTGCCCTTACCTTCAAAGACATTATCATAGAGTTTGCTCCACCTTGTTTGGAATCAAGGATCAATGGAGGTGGGTTCTTTGAATTCGCTTTACAGAAAACTGGATGCCATATAGAAAATGGTACCTTAGTGTCTGACCAGTAAGCCCCTCTGTGCCTTTTTTCTTTCTGTAATTTAAAGTTAAGTGAAGATGCTGTAGAATTGACTGTTCTAATCAGGTCGGTTGAATGTCATAAGCCCTGTCAAGTTAGGCTTCTTATTATTGTGTGATCTTAAAACTGTACGATTATGTGTAGTGTGGAGCTCAATGCTCAAGCTGACTCAATTCTGATATTTAGGGTCTCCAGTCAGATGCTTGGAGTTAAACTGAATATCACAGCAGAGATTATAACCATCAGCCATGTAATAAACAATCTCGAATGAAAATTATCATGCCAAAGGCAATCTACATAGTCTCAAACCACAAACTAGGCAAATGGAGTACAAAAATTTACAAAGAAAGCACAATAAAATTGAAATATCAACAAAGGATCCCTTTATAATGAATTAATTGACAAAAGATAACTGACCACATCAAACTACAGCAGAAACACTGGGGATCATTTGAGAACTCTCCATAACCTGTTTGGAGATGCCGAGTAAGAAATTTATGCCTCACATAGCCTCCAAAGAATTAAATCATCCCTCATTGTTGAGAAATGACACCATTGTCTTCGCAAATCATTTCAGGCTCGGTTGCAGAAAAATGATGCCTCTTGGATTCTAGACCCAAAAAAAGAGGTCTTGCCACAGAGTGGCTGCATCCAGGAGGAAAAACACTTCTGCAGGATCCGCCATTGTAAAGAACCCCACTGTGAAAAATGTAGAGTGCTAGTGTTCTCTAAAATATAATCCTGTCCATCAATTGGTGGATTAAAAAATAAATTAAGGATAGTTCTATATACACATTATACAATTGCCAAGAGCATCTCTTAACGGTATAATTTTGGTAGTTCATTGCAGACGTATCTTAGTACTCCTTGGTATTCCAAACTACAATGGATCCTCTTTTCTTAAATTCGCATGATTGGAGTCCATTCATGGCTTTCCCCATCAATGCCATGGCAGCAATACTTGGGAACTGTTTCTTTGCAAGCTCATCCTGCCCTATCTTCAAGCGATGAGGCTCACAGATCACCAGGGGCTCAGCATTACTTGGCGGGGGAGAAGTACTCTTCTGACACCATCTCTGAATCCAAGAACAACCAAGCATACTTCGGTTCCTGTTTGTTGCCACCAGGGATGAGGACCCACCATTTCTTGGAGCCTTCACATTTTGCTCTATCTCCATCTGTGCCTTGCCATGATGCTTGCGTAACTTGGCATCAAAGCTCTCTCTATTGTATTTTGTTATTCTGTTGAAGAATGTATTAAATTTCTCATGCGAAGAGCCTTCCCCCATATCTGAACTCTTGGTACCAATCCCTAATGAATCAGAAGAACTTACCTTCAGGCGCTTAATCCATCTGTTACCCGAATCTGGGCCAAGAGAACGTTCTTGTCGGGTATTACTCTCAGAGGTCTGTTCATGAGATGAGAAGAGCTGTTTAGCATTCAAACTACGGACTCTTGAAGTACTTGGGTCTTTTCCATCTGTTGAACTTACTGCAGGTTGAAGCCCAGGTTGCTCTTCTGCCTCTTCATTTATGTCAGGTATCTCTGTGATAGGCCTTTTGCTTCTGGTTTTCTCTGAGCTTGAATCACAGGCAGCTGGTGGGCTACTTTCAGCCATAGTATCATCCTGCATGCAAAGCATCAGGCAACTACATGAGCTTATATAATTTGGAGAAGCACATTTTTGTCAGACAATTTATAATTATTCCAAATGAAATGCTTTGAAACACCAATATCCCATCAAAACTAGTAGATATTGCATGTACAAGTATTCTTGTTAAATGATCATGCAACCCATAATCAACAAGAATTAAGAAATAGATACCTTAGTTGATGGGGATGGTTCCATACCTGTGATAAAATAAAGAAACATGCTGAATTAGTTTAAGAGAATTGCTCTAGAACAGCTCAACTTCCTGCTTAGCTAAAGACAAGAAATAAAGGCATGGTTCAGCAAAGTCTAAAACTACATTGAGAGAGCTGCAAAATACCCAATAGATTATGCCGGTTCTTAGGAGCTTCTACTTGCATTCCATTAGTTTCAGCAGATGCTTCATTCCTTGAACCCGTTTTACAGATGGAAGGATTTGCAGTATTTTCCTTCTCTTCACTATCATCAGTGGAGGTCCACAGAGGTTGGATATTCACTCCTCTTGAACGAGGAGCAACGTTAGTAAACATGCTAAAAGGCCCACCAAATGTCTTCTCTTCTTGATGAGCTGAAGTTGGTTCAACCATCACCTGATGTCCTTTTGACATATTAACACAAGTTTCCTTGGTGAATAGAATGTGATGGGCTCTCTGAGAAATTTTGGGAGGATCTCCAGGTGAATTCTCCACAGAATCAACCATTGTACAAATCCTCATAGTCTCTACATTGCGGAAAGAACATGGAATGCTATCGAGGGGTTGGCCCCCATTTTGAGACTGCAGCTTGAGAAAAAAGGACTGAAAATTCTTTTTCCCTGAGGGACAACCATGTTGCAAACGTACTTCATCACTCATTCCAGAATCATGACAAAGGTCATTTCCCATTTTCTTTTCATGAAACAGGACTGAAGAGGATTTTTGATACTTGCAACGATCCTGACTAAAACATGTGAAATTATCATTCGAAAAGTGTCGTTCAAATACCACAACTGGCTTTGATGCATCAGATTTGTTATTGTTAAAAGATCTTGATACACCTTTGCCTTTCTGTTCTTGGAATAAATTCGACATAGCTTGTTGCTTGCTATTCCTCAAATTGAAATCCCTCGAAGTATCCTCTTTACCAACAGCTAAGGTTAGAGCCATGGACTTGTGGCCAAACTCGTGATCAACTTCTGTCCCAACTGTTGAGGCACTCTCTTTGTATTGGCCAAGGGTGAGACTTGGAAAAGATAAATTACTGAGTTTATTCTTAAAATTTCCCAGTTTCTTAGTCAAATCCTTGTTAACACATCCCCCGGTTTTTATTTCTTCAGGACTTTTACTTATTCCTTTCCCAGATTGAAGACTATCTTCTGTCTTAAGCCCACTTTGCACCAGGGAGCCTCTTGTATCAGCATGTCCTTTATTGTAGCGCAAAAATGAGGAATTGTCAGCGATTGATCTTGGCTTAGAACTGTTATTTATCCAGCGGGTCATCCAGCTCGGCTGATGGGCTTGTAAGGATGTCATCGATGTTGCATCCTCGTCATGAGAAGGCCTAGCAGCATGATCAGACATGTAGCTGGAAAGTGCAAGTATCCTTTTCTACTCTTCCTTAAAGCACTTTACTTACTCTCAAGATGCAATTTCCCCCTGAAATGCATACATGCAATCAAAATTCATTTTACAGAAAAATAAACGAATTCAAAGTTAATCAAACATTCAGGCATATATCCCTGCATTAAGGTGAGCTCATGTACATCAATCACGTTTCTCCATCAAGTCAGGTACTATGCTAAGATTGCTAACTCCTTATAGAAAATCCTGAATTGAACGAAAATTTCCCGAGAACAACAAATGAACTCAACAACAGTTTGCTAAAGAACCAGTAATATCAATATAACATGACAGAGAATTGGAATGCAGCCAACTTCCAACACATAACTGACATAAGTACATCCTTAAAATTTCTGCTTAAGACAAAACAAAGAAGATTTGACATTGAAAATTATCACAAAACCCTTAGATTATTACAAAGAGGAAAAGAACAAAGTGAGTCCTATGACCTATGTCAGAGGCAGACTGACTGTGCCATCAACCAAGGACAACCTCCCACCAGTGATCTGACATCAAAAATCAGCAGCCTTACTCATTTCAATTTATTTCCTTTACACCCTTAATTGTAAGTACATCACTATAATACTAGTTTGTGATCAATGTAATTATAATAAAATATATATATATAGATTTACTTCGCTCATTTTTAGTCGGGATTAATAAATTTATTGTGTAAACTCCGTTGTTGAATTATCAATAAAGCTTTGGATCATGTGCCCAGAAGACATATTTGGTCCCTAGTTTCTTAAAGGATAATTAAGGTCTGCTATCTGCTATGTACACGTCTGACAAAGTTTACTCTATTTATTTCCTCACAACAGACCAGCAAACTTAAGCTCCAAAGTTCAAAATAGACAACCATAGACTATTCAAATTCAAACAAGGTCAAAAAACCCATCTGGGTCTAGCTGCTTACAAGTCAATTTCATGCTCTGAGAACTTAATGATGTAAACGAGATGTGATCCCGGGTTTTAGATACCACCCCCCAAAATCTTTACACAAATTTTCATATGTGGCTGGCCACACGATATGGCCGGGGTTATTCGGTCGGTCATGGATTACTCGATCATGGATTACTCGGTTACGTTTGTTAGCTTAGTGCTGAAAACTTTAACTATCTAAGCTAACTAAAATCCACACAACATAATTAATCACGAATTTACCATAATCGACAAAAGTTTAGTACTTTAACAAATAAAATTACCAAAATTCAGATCATATGAACTTAATTGAATCCCACTTTACTGAATTCCACCCAATTGTAAAACCCACATTCAACAAATGAAAAAGAACAGAAAAAATCCCAAAAATACAAAACAAGTACATTGAAATCCTACAAATTGGCAGATCAAAATTTAAATATAAAAGCAGGGAATTCAAAGTAATGAAGATGAACTGACCTGAAGAAGAAGAAAGTTAGGAGAAAATTGCTGCACCCAGATAAACAAATAATGTCAGAACTCAGAAGTATGGAGATGGATATGATTTTCCTTTTCAAGTAATTACTACAATAGTTGTACAACTTGTTGGGAATTTGGGTAAGCGTGGAATTTGGGACCTTTTTTAATAAGTGTATAATGTATGGTCTTAATATGAAGAATATGATTTTGTGGATGATATTGCTTTGATGAGGGCAGTCGATGGAAGAAAAGGTCATGGTGTCAATTCATATGGTTCTACTCTTACAAGTTGGTTCTACAAAGACGCAAAGTGTTTTGTGATGTGAAGTTTTTCTTCCCCTCTTCCATTAGTTTAGTGTCATGTGTGTTTGGTATTATCGGCAATTTTCCGTTTTTGGTTTTGAAGATTTTTAATTAAATGAATAGGTTGTGTCATACATTTACATTTATTGTGTATCAATTAGAGATATTAATTTTAAAAATTGACAATCGATCATTACTATGTGTTGTGATAACTGATAAAGCAAGTGGAATAACAAATAAAAAGATACGAGAAATATTGCAATAACTTGTTAATTGTTGTTCAAAGTTATAATAAAAGAGTGTTATGTTAGGAAAATTGACATTTTATAAAGTCAAATTTAAAGTAAGATATTGGTACTTTTTTTAGTACTTTAAATCTTTAGCTAAAGCATATCCACTTATATAAAAAATAAAAGGGGAAAGAGAGTAGTAACGTACTAGTAACCAAGGGTTAATCAATTATGAAAATTTAAGTTTGAATATTTATCAAGGGTATGGAAAAGATTTTAGCTAGCCCTCCTCGAGAAGTGAATTCCTAATTATCGGGAAAAAGAATAGTAAACCAATTAGAATAATTACAATCAAACATCATTAATATTCATACTATCAATTATTGAATGACCTACATTAGCGATCCAATTGGTCTTTCGGTCGATATATATATGATGGACAACTTTTAAACTAAGTAAGGAGACAACACTTCAATAATGCACTTATGCGCTCAATGTGTCATGGCCAAAAATTGCCCTAATGTCTTTTATTAAGTTGATAATTAGTAGATTGTCATCTTCAATTTGAATTTATGAATATTTTGTTGGAGTGTAACCTGGACTCCTTTAATAAGAGCTCTAGATATTGCTATAAATGTCTTGGTGTCGAGGTTGAATGTATAAGCCTTAACAAGGGCCTTACTGCTATCTTTGATGATCGACTCTGATCTTGTTGTTCTTGAGCTATTGTGAACTAGATCATTAAATTTCGTTTCAAAGAAGATGGTGGGTCGATGTCTTTCAAGATGTAAGGATAGATGATGAAGGAATATGAGGGATAATGTTATGGGATCTCGGAATAGCCAATAGGAGATATCATAAAGAAAAAGGTATCTACGAGACTTCGTTGATGTAAGAGTTTGTGTTTCAATGAATTTTTAAAATACTTTTCTTCGGGTTTATATAAAAGGATAAATGCTCATTTTAAAGTAGAGAAGACGCTCTTTAAGAATGCATAAGCCAATTCTCTACACGTCAAAAAATCTCAAGGTGACACAAATTATCTTGAGCCCTCTTTTCTTTTCCGGTAATTTTCATCTTACAATGTGACCAAGGTCTTGTTTTGATTTACTGAACTGAACTATTTATGAGCGAAGGAAATTAGGAATTGGACTGAACTGAAATTAAGCTGAAGAGAGTAGGTCCCAAGTGTAACTTCCTAAGGCACATTTTTTTTTCTTAAAATAAAAGGCATGGCTCGAAAAGCACCAAGGTGCAACATTTTTTTTTGACAAGAAGGTGCAACATAATTGAAACAATTTTAGTATACATTATCAAATGGAGAAAAAGGATATTCCTAGGTATACTTAACTAGATGAACCCCGTGCGATGCACAGTTTGTTTAAAAAAATTTTAAAATTTATATTTATATATTTATGTGCTAAAATTTCTTATATATTTAGAAAATTCCTGATATCAAAAGATAATATTTTATATTTAATTAATTTAAACTGGGAAACCTCATTCGTCAATTTTGCTTACGTGTCATTTAAAATATTTATTCTAAAAGAAATTAATAATCTCGTATTTAATTGGCTACCACTAAAATTTATTATCTTATGTGGCGCGTTAAAAAAATTAAATCCTATGTGGCTCTCTAAAAACTCGGGAAAAAACTCCCCTTTATATATATATATATATATATATATATATATATACTTCCTCCGTTCTATTAATATTGCAACAATGGACTTTTTGCACTATTCATCACTCTTGTTTGACCATATAATATGAGTTATACGTTAAGCAAAATATAGTCAAGTGGGATCTTGTTGGATTCGTCTCATTTAATACTTTCACAATATCAACTTTTTATAATTTTTACTCTTACACAATTATAGATATTTAGCATATAAAATGTGTTTTGGGATGCATAATTTCCTCCTTGTTGCAATATTAACAGAACGGAGGAAGTATATATATATACTCCCTCCGTTTCAAGTTACTCGCAACAAACTTGGTAGTTGCGGACTCCTAGGCAAAAGATTGGAGAAGGATTAATTAAAGGAAGGGGTAAGTAATTAAAGAGAGATAAAGTGGAGGGAAAGTTAGTGGTCCCAAATAAAGTAGTGGGAACATGTGAGGAAAAGTTGGGTGGGATTTTTTTCCCTCCCTTTTTTTTTTGGCTGATCCTGCTAAGGAGCCAAATTCTTTTCCCTCCAATATTTTCATGAAAATTTAAAAAACACATTCAAATTTCAGATTTTTTCAAATCTGACTATTTTCCAAACAAAAGGCCCATATAAAAGGCACATTTCAGATTCATTCCCCCCTATTCAATCAAAAGATAAGTTTGGGAATAGGGAGGGGGAGGGAAAACACTGTTCACCATTACATACATAGTTCACCATACTTAAATTGTTTCCAAAATTACAAAAACCATCATCAACATTAATTAATCCTAATTCCTAAGCTGAGTTAGTTGCAGCAGTTGTTCTTTGTACATAAATTAGGCTCCACTAAAAGCTTCAAAAAAAAAAAACCAGGCACCTCCACTTCATCACCTACCACCAGATGCAAAAAAAAAAGGGACTCATGGAAGAAATCTTTGACGATTTTTTTGATATCAATCAAATATTGAAGGAGCAATACACAGATGAGTCAAGTGAGACCAACAGCACACAAACAGGGTCAGATTCAAATGAAGGTAATCAGCAACAACACAATGAAGGCTGTGATGCTGGGGTTTCACAGTCAGAATCAGAAGAAGAAAATCAGCAACAACAAAATGGTAGGCAACGCAGAGAGCTCAACATTGAGGAAAAAAGACAGATTGTAGATGATATTCTGCTTAACATGGAAGGGGACTCACTTCCAAGAGGTCTACTAACCTCATTAGCAATCAAGCACCATGTACACAAATCTACTACAAGTAGATGGTTCAAGGAAATCAAAAAACAGATTCTGCTGGGGAATGTTGTTGATGTGAGGAGCAAGAAATTAGGGAAAACAGGGCCTAAACCAAAACAATACTCAGATGAGTGGCTAATGTCTGTCCCACTGTACAAGAGAACAACTAACAGGAGTTATGCTGCTGCATTGAAGGTAGCACGTGTTGTCATACATAGATTAAAAAAAAAGGCAGACTAAGGGCAGTCTCAACAACAAATCACCCAGCCCTTAGTGATAACCACAAAGTGGCAAGGTTGAAATGGGTGCTTAATCATGTGAACCCTATTCCAAGTGAAGGTAATCCTAGTTTTATGGATTTTCAGCATCATATTCACATTGATGAGAAGTGGTTCTATTTGAACCCAGAGACAAGGACTTTCTACCTCACACCAGATGAGGAAACACCATACAGAGCACAACAGTCAAAGAGGTTCAAACTAAAGGCCATGTTTATGGGAATGATAGGGAAGCCACTATATGATGAGCAAGGGACTATGCTTCACTCTGGGAAGTATGAGCTCTTTCCATTTGTGAAGTATCAAATGGCTAAGAAAAAAAGCAAAAACAGAGATGCTGGAACCATGGAAACCAAGGCCATACAAAGTGTAAACAGAGAAGCAATTAGGGACATGATATTACAGCACATCATTCCTACAATTCATGCTCAATGGCCAGCACAACTATCAAAGAATATAATCATTCAATGGGATAATGCTAGGCCTCATCAAATTCCTAGGGATGAAGAATTTTTGGCAGCAACTCAAGCAAATGGGTTTAATATCCAATTTGTATTTCAACCTGCCCAATCCCCTGACCTAAATGTTTTGGACCTTGGTTTGTTCAGGGTAATACAATCAATACAATATCAATCTTTCCCAAAGAATTTGGATGAACTTTTGGAGAAAGTTGCTGAGGCTTTTGAGGTTTTTGATCCAACACTCAACAGGTATTCATGGATCACTCTACAGTCATGCATGGTCAAAATATTGGAAAAAAAGGGAGGAAACAACTTCAACCCATCACACATGGCTAAAGCAAGGCCAGACAGAGAAGGCACACTACAAGACATACTAGAAGTGGACAGGGAGCTCATCACAGAAATTGTGAACTACCTCAACACTCTTTTTGTTGACACAACAGGGCATCAAGAAGACACACAAGACATGGAAGTGGATGCAGATTAACAAGATGCTGAGACTCATAGCAATTTTTTGAACAGGGGATGCAACACCTACACAAGATCACTAACTGCCACACATAACTAGTAAACCTTTTAATTTTTTTTTTTTTTGCCTTTTAAATTTATTGGTTATGTGTATTTTGGTAGATAGGATAGGCAAAATAGCAAGGCAGTCACTGCAGTGTAGTGTACAAGACTTAGGACTTTTGTAAAGTGTCCATATTATGAATATGAATCACAACAATTAAACACATATGTTTGTCCATCAGATGGGATTGTCTTAAACAGGGCTAACTCACTAACAAGGGTACCTCAACAACAACCTTGAATTGAGGTTGTTGGAGCCATCCCTTGGTAGTGGTTGCTATCAGATGAGTCCCTTCATCATATGGACACAAAAAAATGGATTGATGCATAGTTTAACAGGGACTCAAAGCACCAACAGTATACACCCACATGTAAGGCATCAGAGACTCATTTGACAAACATCAGCAACTACTTGGCACTTTATGCACCAACACAGAGCAACCACAAGGCAGTAGGGACTCAATGACATATACCAGAGCATCATCAACACAAACACTAAGCAACAACAGATACCAGAGCATAACCAACACAAACCCTAACCATCAGAGCATCACCATCAAAAACATGTATCAACAACTAATTCCAGAGCATAACCAACACAAACCCTAACCATCAGACCATCCCCATCAAAAACATGTATCAACAACTAATTCCAGAGCATAAACAACACAAACACATAGCAACAAGATATAACAGAGCATAATCAACACAAACACTAAGCAACAACAGATACCAGAGCATAACCAACACAAACCCTGACCAACATGATATAACACAAACATCAAATCAGCAAAATAGCCCAAACCCTAACCACACAAATTCATACAGTAACTCATCAATCAAAAACATCAAATCAACAAACTAAGATCATTATAAGTAAATAGAAAGAGAGAAGAATCATTACGCTGCGAGATTAGTTACTGGGAGGGAAGTCATGAGGGTATTTCTCCCTCAACCAAGCCATATAATCAGGGTCCCAGTTGCTGTAGTCCTCCGTCAACACAGAACGCACCCTTTTGTTCCCTGTAGAAGACCCAGCACCGACTCAGGAAGAACTTCGGTAATGGGTTCAGGGGACTCAGGCACCTCAACCACAGCAACTATGACCTCGCTCCTTCCCATAACCACCAGATCTGACTCCTCAGAAGGGTTGTCCTGATCTGCAACCCCTTCCTTCACAGCCAAAGAACCACCGACGGCCCCTAGATCTGGACCAGTTCCAGCCTCATCAGCATTAGGTTTTGGTGGTTCTTCCACAACAACATCATCCTCGTCATCACTGGAGTATATAGGCTCAATTTTAGCCCCAATTTTCCCTCGATGATACCTAGAAAAGGCGACGGAGCAGCGGCGCACTGGTTTCATTATTCCAGTGCCGCGCTGACATTTGTACAGCGTAGACTGAGAATCACCGTCTTCCTTTTTGCAACGAGGGGACTCCTTCTCATTTGGGATGGAACTCATTTTGGATTTGGTTAGGGTTTCAGAGAGAGAATCAGAGAGAATCGCAAAATGTTAGAGGAGAGAGAAGAGGGAATACGAAAGTAGATCTAGGGTTTATGAGGGAATTCTGGAGAATTCTCCAGTATTTGTTCAAACTGGGCAGCATAATCAAGAAGAATTCAATGCAAAATAATGAATGAGGTAGTTGGGGAGATGGATAAATTCAGAAGAAATAAGTTAGGGGGGGTTAATTTTTGGTGGGAATGGTTAGATTAATTGAATAGATTAAGTACTAAGTAATTGTACTTATAAAATAACAAAACACATTAGCAGAAATATTTAAGGGCAATATGGACATTTCACACAAAAAAAACTTACTATAAAAGGAAATAATATAACTTGTTGCAAGTAATGTGAAACGACCATTTTTAATAATTGTTGCGAGTAACTTGAAACGGAGGGAGTATTAGATTTAAATCAATAGCTAATAGACTAAATTATACATATAAATTTAATAAAAGTGAGTAACAAATTGCAATAAGTTGAAATTAAAATTTAATAAAAAGAGTCTATAAGTAAAATATCTTCAAGTAGATTGACAGCTTGGATGCATTAGAGCGTGTTTGATTGGAAAATGACGATATCAATGGGGTGAAGTTGGTTGATAGAGTAGTGACTTACCTATTTTTCCTTAAAAAAACAAGTTAAAAGTTACAATACTCTAAGTTAAAAGTTAATGTATAACCAGTGTTATATCTTTTGGTACTACTACAAGGAGTTCCCACCGCCTTTGGCGCGTGGACTAATCTCTCGTGGAAGTTTGCATGAGTACTTTAGTTGGGATTTTTTCTATACAAGGCTCGAAGCATTACCATTGTTATATAAATTGTAATTTTGATAAAAATTTCTTCTAACCTTAAATAAAACATTTGAAATGTAATTAAAATCGAATATTAATGATTCTTGTCAAGTTTAACCGCATTGCTCCAAACAATCTAAACTCGAGTCAACTCATTTGCCATCTACCGACTTAGAAATTTCGTCAAATTAGGGATTTTCCATACGCTAGCATATTGCAATCACTTGGAATAATAAAACGGAATAACAAATTTAACTAGTACAGAAAATAAATACGAGCAAACCCAGAGATTGGTAGGCAGAAGAAGCATTGAAGAGAGAGAAAAAATCGGGATAAAGAGAAGATAAAAAAATTAAAAATAAAAATCCCCAAATCTCTCAATTCTACTCTGCGACTTTTCAAGCATCGCATTTTTCACCATTACCACTGTCGGTCTAACTCGGATTTCACTCGCCATTTCCAAAGCTTCAACTCTTACAGGTAAATCAAACTTTTCTCTCTCCTCCATTTACCAATTTTACAAGAAAAGATTCATCTCTTTCTCGTGAAAACAATCAGATCACACTATTTCGACCTTATTATAATAAATAAAGAAAAACCCACATCGCAAAATTCTTTAATTTAGCTGATTTCCCCATAAATTTCCCTAATTTTGTGTAATTTTTGGTGGGCAGATCTTGTATTGCCGTAAACCCTAATAAATCTAGGGTGTATTAATGGAGGGAATAGGTGGGTCATCTTCAGAATCTCCGGCAAGCAAGAAACTTCACGAACTTTCGAGAATTTACCAGTATTACTTAGATAAGACGACCCCACATGCAGTTCCAAGGTGGGTAGGAACCCTAGTTCTTGCTGTGATTTATGGATTGAGGGTTTACTTTGTTGAAGGGTTTTATGTAATTACATATGCTCTTGGGATCTACCTCTTGAATCTGCTAATTGGGTTTTTATCCCCTTTGGTTGATCCTGAGCTTGAGGTTTCTGATGGCCCCACTTTACCCACTAAAGGTTCTGATGAATTCAAGCCCTTCATTCGTCGTCTCCCTGAGTTTAAGTTCTGGTAAATTCTTATTATTATTATTTTTTGATTAATTTGTACAGTTGCAGCTTTAATCTTGATTTGTTTTTGGTTTGACTTTGTGGTGGATTTGATTTAGGTTTTCCTTAAAGCTTGGTAGAAGAATGTATATAACGTTGTTGAATGACTTAGGGAAATGATTAGCATTGTAGATTATAGGTCTGAGAATGTAACAATGTGTTTCGCGGCACTAAAAAAATTAATGGGACTATTGCCATTGGATTACTGTTGATGAGTTTGCCAGTGAGGTTGTTAGGTTGGAGATCATGGTAATGAGATTTTTGTTTCTTGGAGAATAGAGTTTGGAGTTGTTGCCTTGTTGGTCATTGATTGTTGTACAATTTTCTTGATCTTCAAAATTGTTAGATGAGTGATCTTTATAGTAGCTTCAGGCTTTTGGAAGTCTTGATTCGGACCATAGTTGATGAGGAATTTTGGAGAGTGCTGGGATTTGTGTGTTTATCTTTTAATGGCAGTAGTTGTTGGTGAAAGAGGGGCATTGTGTGGAAATGTTATTTGAGAATCACTTCTTAAAGGCTTTGTAACAATTCTTGTCATGTTTAGCCACATTGCTCCCATGGACTTCCACCCCCTAAAACTCTGAGTCAACTCAATTGCCATCTGCCAACCTAGACATTTCATCAAAATAGGGATTTTGTTTTGTTTTTCCTTAAATCTTGGCTGAGGAATGTTTGTAGTAAGACGCTAAGTTGTTGGATGATGTAAGGACATTATTAGCATTGTAGACTTTGGGTTTGGGAATGCAACAATGGTTTTTGCGGACTATGCCAGTTGCAGTACTTGTTGATAATGTTTGTCAGTGAAGTTGATAGGTTGGAGATCAAGGTCATGGGGGTTTCGTTCTTAAAGAATTGAGTTTGGAGTTGTTGGCTATTGGTTTGTACAGTTTTGTTGATTATTGAAAGTTCTAGATACGTGATCATTATTGTAGCTTTGGGCTTTGAAGTCTGGACAATATTTGATGAGGCATTGGGAGATAGCTGGGATTTGTGTGTTTATTTGTTAATGGTAATAGTTGATGGGGTGCATTTTGTAAACAAGTTACTGCCATTCTGAGGCTTTGAAATTGATATCCTTGTTATGATAACAGTCATGTTGAAACTTTTTTTTTTAGATAGGGTGGTGAATATGTTGCCTAGATTAATCGCTCCAATCCTAGTAACATACTTACATGCAATTTGAAAGGCAGTTGGCACTCTTTTGACCTCAGGAAGGATGTCTGAAGTTAAGATTTTTGTTGAGGGCATCGGGAAATTTTCAATGGACAAGCCTTTTTGTGCTTATTACTTCATTCCTTATTGGCTATTGCACTATCTCATGTGGTTAATCTTTAAGATTGATGTTTTCTATGGCTACGATTATTGGTGTTCCTTTGTCTCTATTCTAGGTTGAGGCTATGGTTTCTTTCATATCTTACTGTTACTTGAGAATGTTGAAGGACCCTTGGTAGAGATGTTGTTATGTTTCTTGTAGACATTTGGTAATTACATCAGAAATCCTTGCCTTGTAGAGCAGATTATACTACACCCACTGCTTAAAGGATCAAAGTAAGAAATTTCTGCACCTGGCCTTGTCAGACCTTTCATTTGATCAATTGCTGAAGAAGAGCAGTCTATGTCTTGTAAGAAAAATTTGCTGGCTTCGTTTGAGTTTATGCATTTATGCTTTCATAACATTTCAGTGAAGTGTATCACAAAACCTACATAGTGAAAAAATTTCCATTTAAATCAATGAAATGTCTTTGTTCCAATTTTTGATTTGGGCCTTTAGTTTTCTTGATGAATAGACATTTTAGTGGATGCCTGGATTGACATGTGAGAAGATAGATTTTTTTTTTCTTCTTCTATTGGTGTATATGGAACCACGAAGGGCATATGGGGAATATGGTTGAATAAATAGGTCAGATAAGTTGTATTGAATCAGCTAGAAGCTGAGAAACAGATCTATTCTATGAAATGAATTCTTGATTCTTGAATAGTGGAATATGGACTCTAGAGGACTACCGTGGGATTTGGGTTGCTACCATTATCAAGACGGATATATTTAGCGAAGGACTTTGGATTGTATAAATATTCTACTAGTTCAATGATTTGTGGTGCTTGTTATTAACACACTTGTACTCATTCCTGTACTGTACATTCTCAAATCTGTTGCATTGTAATGCTCTTGATGAGCTTTCCCAAAGATCAGCATTACCATCTTTGTAATCCTTTCAATATACATGGGGGTCCACTGTTCTTAGCATAAGTTGTTATCCATGAAGCAGGGAGCTATCGTTTGGATACAAGTTGCTGGCTTCTTGTGTAATTGATCCTTTTTACAACTGATTGTTTTAGCTACCTTGTACAGTTATACCATTGTAGGTTTATGTTCATGGTATACAGTCTACATATGGGGGATGGCCTTGACTCTTGATTACAAAATATGGGTGATGAATATAACCTGGTGTGTACTTGGTCATCTTTAGGAGAGATTAGGGAATATAGTTATTACATAGGTTATCATGGAAATGAAATAGTATGCCACTTTTTGCTTGGTTATTGAAAATTAAGGAAGGTTGTAGCTTACAACAGATCAATGACTATTGGGAAGTGGAGGTTGATTCTTAAAATTTGTTAACTGTCGAAAAGGGGTGGGAAGAATTATTTTTTTAATTATTATTTGTGATGGAGGGAGTGTTTCATTTTACATTAAGTAGAATTTGAAAAAGAAGAAACATTTTATCAATCTGTATTAATATAAACTAATGGACTATGGAAGGCCTAGAAATGATATTGGTCACTTGTTTACTCAAAAGTGAAGGAAGTTTAGATAATAGTATTAATATCCTGCGTATTTACTATTTTGGTGGTTTAAGCTCTTCTTCATGTAAATTGTACATTGTGCACGGTGAGCTTTTCCAAGGATTGGTAAGTTGTTGGTAGATCCTTTTGGTTTTACTTGGTCTTAACTTGGGTTAGTTGAAGTTGCTATGTGAATTTGATCAGATAATAGTAGTTATTACCAATGAAATGAGGAGCTGATTTAGGACTGAAGTAGTGGACATGTTGGCTTGCCTACTATATCTGGTTCTTGTTTTACAGTTGATTATTCTGGTGCCTTGGAGCATCACAGGATTGACTTCTTGGCATAGGACTATATTGATGATCTTGGCTCCCGATGAGAATAACTGATGAGTTGATGATATTTAAGAATTGTTATCTTGTTTGTGAGGATTGTGATGACTGATGGAGTATCATATCATGAGAATTTAGGCCTAAGGTGTGCTAAGTGTCTAACACTCTTAACTTCAAGAAAGCACTTAGCTGTCAACTTAGTACTTTTTAGATATACATAGATAGGCCTTTTTTTTTTTAATATATATATATATATATATATAATATTTTTTTTTATAACAATCTCCTCTCTTTCCCTGCAGGCACTCCATTACTAAGTCATTCTGCATAGCATTTGTTTTGACTTTCTTTTCTGTGTTCGATGTCCCTGTATTCTGGCCAATATTGCTGTGTTACTGGGTTGTGCTGTTTGTTCTCACCATGAAGCGTCAAATAGCACACATGATCAAGTACAGATATATTCCTTTCAGCATCGGAAAGCAGGTGGGTGTTCCTCTATAGTTGCAATTTCTGTATATTTGTTTTTGGCAGTCTGACTCTTTATTCATGATATAATCTTCTAATTACTTTCTGATAATTTGACACAGAAATATGGAGGAAAGAAACCTGCTGCATCAACCAGTGGTTCTCGCGCTGACTGAATAATCATGAATTCGCAGGTATTGGAGAAGTGAGAGATCAATCCTTCTTCAAAAATTAGTTTAGGACAAGAGTGAAGGGGCATATTGTGAAGATTCAGACCAAATATATCTTTTTATCTGCGTTTTTCAGAAGTATATACGGTATCTGGTTGCATTTTATTACCCTGCAGCTTTTCCTCTCACCAGGAGATTTGTTGTTGCTTAGATTGGACCTGGCCTTGTTTTCTTAACAGTATTGATTTATCGGTGTATTAAAGCTCCAAGTATTATTAGCAAGGCACATCCCTTATTCATTTATTTTCTTGTTCTTTTTTCTCGAATACATCTACTATTCTAGATTTTGAATACACTATATACGAACTGTGCTGCTTGAAGTGCATTGCATACTATGTTGCTATATATTGTTGGTGGCAAAAGTTTTTGGTTTAATTGAAAATTTTGGTGCTTAGTCTTTTGACCTCTTTACTTAAAACATTTTGTCAAAAAAGAAAAAAGAAAAAAAAGAGGCCATATAAGGGCAATTAAGCTCATATAAAGGCTAATAAGTCTTTCAAGTTTGGAGAAGGGTCAATAATATTGACTAGGGCAATTAAATTTTGAAAAGTTCCAATTGGAGCTAGTTTGTGACCTATTCACTCCATTTATTGTAAACTTCAGCATCAATCTTTATTGTAGAATTTCAGAGCTGATTTTGATAGCTCAACTGGAAAACTTGAAACTATGATCATTGGTAGATTTAGTGCATTTAGCAATTGTATAATTCTAAATCTGTTTTTGATTTTTTTTTTTAAATTATTTGGCATGATTATAAAGCAGGTAGTCTATAGTATGAACTTATTACCATATCTAAGTATTGAATACACCTCCTACCGCTACATAATCTTAATTAGCTTTGCTATTTCTTTTAAGATTGTTTAGCAATGTACAACTTACCATAGTCAATTTAGTGTCCAAAACCATTGATAAACCACAGTATAATATTATTTTCTAAATAAAAATTTTAATGTAAATTGAATAAAAAAGGAAAAAGTGGGTAAAAAAGAAACATAACCCAAAAATCGAGGAGTGAGGGTGAGGCTATGGAGTATTCTTCTCTGCCGGAGTATACTTATCAACCGGAGTTACATTACTCTTCAAGTCTTCATCCACGAGGAGCGGTGTTCTACCAGAGTAGCAAATTGTGTGATTGATTAAATACAAAAGGTTATGTGTATTTTAATTGATGAAAGGTAGTATAGTCGAACGCCGGCGAAGGATTTTCAAGGTCTTTAAACATTTGTTACTTTAATCACGAGATCGACGATGAATTTTCTACCGGAGTGCAAATTTACTACTTCAACCATGAAAAATGGCGAGTTCTCTGCTAGGTACTGTTAAAATTCGGAATAATTTGGATGTGAGAAAGTTGAAGTCGACGACATTAATTGTTTGTCGGTGCTCAGTTAATATTAACGTATATACTGTTATTTTTCATTTGTATACTGTTATTTTTACTTGTATGTTGTTATCTAATGGTTTCATACTGTTATTGTACACTGTACTTGATGAAGATGAAAACGAAGAGATGGTGGTGGTGATTTTCTCTCTCCTCTCACTCAAAGGTTTTTGAATTGGTTTTCCGGTGAAAATTTCGCCGAATTATAAACTTTACGACCACCATCACCAACACCTTTCCGATGAGAATTTTTTTAAAAATAAAATAAAGGTTTTCCAGTGAGCATTTTGGTGGAAAAAGAGGAGAGAGGGGAAAAGAGGAAATAGAGTTTTTTTTTTTTTTACCGCTTAGTAACAAATGAGTTACAGTCTAAGAATTTACATGAAATTTCATTTTTGCCCCTAACCAAGGGAGCCCATACCTGGTAGTGGTCTATCACAACTTGTCACCCACCTACTATTTAATGTAATGCTGACACATCACATGCTGATCTTTTTTTTTTTTTTTTTTTTCAATTATACTTTTTATGATATTTTATTATGTATTTTGATACTCCATACTAGATAAATTTGATGAATAAAATTTGGGTAATGTCATTTGAGTTGATCAAAATCGGATTAGCAAGTCAGGTATTTCACATTGAGTCATTTTTGCTAAGCCCTTTTAAAACAATAATTTATGGTATGGACTATGTAGCACATTTCAACAACACTATCTAATGCACAAAATATATAGTTCCATCACACTTCCATGATTACATCCAGGTGGATATATTATTTAGCTACATCATATATTACAAGTGATCATAGTTCATAATACAAAGGGAAGAAAGCTGAGAAATTTGATCCCTTAATTCATTTTTTTTTTCTTCATGGTTTTCTGTTTATAATTAGGTAGGAGAAACACTTGCATCTTGAATAGATATAAACCTTGGAAAATTGATTGCCAAGATGTTTCAAATCCTAAACAAACTGGTTGAGGTATTCGTCCACAGAGGTGTATTTGACATCAGGATAGAGTTCAGAAGCTTCGACTCCAAACGATGGCTCGATCTCGAAGTTAGTCTGATCACCCCTCACAAATACAGCATGTCCAATAGCCAAAATGACATTGACTGGAGGTGGAGAATCTGCAATAGTAGGATTACACCAATATATCAACCTCAACATTAGACATATCAATTAGACTGATATCCTAATCAAGAGTTGTTTAAAACAAAAGGTATTGGGTGCAATGGTCACATAGTGCTACCAAACATGCCACTGATTAACTAACGAGTATGAAATGTCACATAGTACATTACACCTTACACGCAATACCTTTCTAAGCTTAAACTAATGATTGAAGTCCATGATCGGTTTATATACTCTATCAAAGCATATTTAAGCGACATACCTTGGATATTCTTCAAGACTTGTTCTTCAGGAATGTACTCTTTCTCAAGAGTTTTACCAATCTTTTTCTCCCACAACGAAACAAGCTCGTTGAAAGACAATATGTTACCAGCAGGTTTGATGTACAGAATCTTGTTTAGGGTCCTTGGATCATCCACTGCTCGAATGGTGTAGGTTCCAATGTCGTCTTCCTTGTTGTAAACCGCTGTAATATACCATTTGGACAAAGAATATCATCATCAACGTTAGATACATAGTAAAAAGGCTAAAAGCATTATGAAAACTGTAAACATTAAAACATGTGACTAAATCAAGTTCATTCTTTAAATAACATTATTGCAAGATCACTCAACTATTTACTAATGACAACATTATAAAACTGTGTATCAGATTACCTTTAGCATTTCCATCACCCAAGATGACAACTTTATCTCTTGGCGGAGCAGTGGCTCCAGGCTGAGAGAAACTAGGGAGAAAGTAGCCAGCAAAGTTGTTGGATGACACATAAGTGTAGGGAATTCCAGCAGCCTCCACTGATCGCCGGATTTGGGATTTAATTGCAAATGTCGATTTTGCAGGCTCCACAGCACTCGTACGATCCACATCCACACCAAACTCCGAGGGGAAGAACCTCTATACAGTATACACCCCAAAGATAAGATTTGCATACTAGTAAGGATTAAGATCAAAGAAACTTTTGATTCTCATAATCTTCAATATCATTTGGAGTTTATGTTTGTATAATTAATACGAAGTAAAAATTTTTTTACTGATCTTTTATTTAATAGTGTGATTTCATAGGATGGAGTAAAAATTGGATCAGATCAAAGCAACAGAAAAGATTGGAGTACCACTAATTGCTTCTCATATTCTCATAGACAAACACTCACCCTTGGGACCATTTGAAAAAGAGGAAAAAAATATGGACCGAAAACAAAAGGCACCGAAAATTCAGTGGAATGTCTCAACATCAACAGTCTGTATATTGTATTAGGCTCCATTTGTCCATTACATCAACAACTTTCATTTAAGACACATTTAGGTTTGCAATAATTTTAGTTGATCAACTTCTTAAAACACTTCAACAGCAGTTTATATATAAGAACTAGGCTACTATTAGTATGATTTAGATCAAGAAGGCTTGGCATTCCCTTTGACCTTCGTACGAAAAATAATATTCACACATCATTTTAAATGTTCGAAGAAAAAAAGTCGTCACAATTTCTATAATAATACCGCAAATTAGATCAAATTTTGCTCCTGAAACAACATACAATTCTTCATAATAAAGTGAGTGAAGGATCAATACCTTAATATTACCAGCTTCTTTAATTGCATCAATAATTTTCACTTGATCCGCCAACAAAAGGTACCCAACAGTCGAGATTACCACATCTACTTGCTTAATTGCTTTCACCAAACTTTCGTGATCATAAACATCTCCCTACATACAATAACATACATATAAACAACCAAATTAATATCATCTTATCATATTTCCTTGATAAAAATTAAAACAACAAAAAAAGACATTAGTAAAAGCTAGCTTAGAACATTTTGTACGTACCGAGACCAAATTGACACCTAAACTCTTAAAGTTGTCAATAATGGAAGCCTTAGCAGGGTTAGAGAGTGTCTCATTACGAACAAGAGCGAATGTTGGGTGGCCTTCCTTAGCGCTCGCTTCGACAACGAATTTCCCGATGTATCCTGTGCCTCCGATCACCAAAATCTTGCTCTTCTCGGCCATTGTCAAATAATGTGTTTCTTATTTTTTTTTATGAAAATTTTGTGAATAAGAGTTTTACTAGAAAGGAGCTAGAGAATGATGATCGTACTTTCTAGGAGAACTTCAAGTCATGCTATTTAAAGTCTTTAAAGAAGATGTAATTACGGTTAAGACCTTGTGTTTAAATTGAAGTACATTGTTATGAATAACGTCCACTTTCATTTCTTTGATCATTAACATGTCTACGTTAACGTTATCTTTGTTTAAGGGTGAAAAAAACTCTGTATTCATTTTTCTGAGATGTCGTTGACTTTTAGTTTACAATTTATTTTAGGAAAAATAATCTAACATTGTATAATGTGGGCTAAATCCGAATAACATAATTTAGTTTACACTTTATAATTTATTTTAGGAAAATCATGACTTTTAGTTCCTTTAATACCTAATTGGGCTAAATCCGAATAACAAAATAATATAATCAGGATTTCTAAACAAATACTTTTGTATACATCCGGTTTACACTAATATTAGTGTACATCGAGCACTATAAGGATAACTTTAAGCCAATTTAGGGTAACTTTTTGCCCTTTTTGGGTAATTTTGAACATAATATGATTTTTTTTTTATAAGTAGGACAAGAAAAGTTTTATAAGGGTAATAGTATTACTTTCAATCACTAATAATTGAATTTTAGTCATTTAAAATGCGATTTTTTACCAATAAAGCGTATATTATTTTTATTTGTATTGGGTTACTTTTATATATATATATTGGGATAACTTTTATTCATTTTAGGGGTAACTTCTTATCATTTTAAGAGATCTTTATAATGGATGTACAATAATTATTGTACACCCAATTTTTTTAAAAGTTTGTGATTTCTAAAATGTAACTAATCGAATAATGTGGTTAAGAGATAATGAATACAACCCAAAGATCCAACTATGGTAAATTGTTATATGAAGCATCTACTTCCTATTATATACTGCATTTGTCCTTCAAGCGGATTTAACTATCATCGTACAGGTTCAATCACACTATCAACAAGACTACTAATTCCAAAAGGAGGAAGTATTTAACGACAAGCTAAGAAAATCATCTACGATATGGAATTGAACTATACATAATGCTGCAACATCGTTACCAAAAGAGAAAAACGTCTTGGTCTAGAAGTAGTTAGTTGGTCATCATCATCAAGACTAATGTTGGTGACCTTCATATAGTTCCTTAGACTACTTTTGATTTATTTTGTGTGGCTAAAATAAAGTACTGGTGGTTGGTCGAAGCTTCAGTAAGATTTACTCATCTTTAAGTACACGCAAAATATGATAATTAGACTAAAAGAGAGTAGTTTAGTCATCACTTTGTGCTGTAATGCTGTGCTAGTATGCTCTAACATGGGTTCATGACTATAAATAATTGAGTCACCCATTCAGCGTGCAACCATAATTTGGTTACTGAAATCATGTCATAAGAACAATACTTTATACTATATGCAGCAAAGTGATCAACATCATATTATAAAATGAAATACTGCATTTTAATTATCAATGGGACCTATTGTTACAAATTAAAACCTGGCTTCCAATCATTTTTTTTATTTTTATTTTTATTATAGTATTATATTAAAACTAGAACCAGATTAGTTTCAAAAGAATTAATCTGTTTTCCTCCAAAATATTTCAAAAAAAATGGTTGTCTATTTACCCACAAAGGTGTGAACCTACTAGTAATTCAAGGTACATCCGCACGGTCAGACCCAAGTTCAATTAGTCTCAAGTTCCTTTTAGTATACCTCTAAATTCAATTTGTCTCGTGTAAATTTTAATTAAACTGCGCGGTCACTAATCCACATTCTAGAATATACTCCTGATGGGTGTATGTAAGGAAAAAAAAATAAGTACCAGGGAGCCTTGACGATAAATATAAGTGTTTAGGCAAGGCATGAGTTTCAATGTTCTGTTCCAGTAACTCAATTCGTCACTGGACCTCTATATTCTACCTACATAATACGGTAACCACACATGCTCAACCTAGAGATAACCAGTTTGATTGATATACACTAAATTTCACAGAAGGGTGTCTAAATACTGGCTTATTGTAGTGTACTTAAGGTGAGGGTATAACATAGTTCCTTCCACGCCACCAGATGCCTCGACATCAAAGTAGGTCTGATCCCCCTTCACAAAAGCAGAGTATATGAAGATAAGCTCCATGTTGTTTGGATATTGGGTTTCTGCAACACAGAGGAATAGTCTTAGAGAAATCTATAAAGCCTATGGTTTAAACCATACAGCATGCATCCCCCTTCTAGTGAAGAATATAATAATACCATATTATTGAAGAGTTTAAGTACTTTTTTTTTTAATCTTGGTGAATACCCTGACTTTCAACCCTATCACCCTAATTAGACCATGTTGGTCACTCAAGGGCCCCAAGACCTTGAACAATTGAACCTTTGGGAAATGATCAAGACATAGTTTACAAAGAAGAAAGTTACTACAAATTTTGAACAGTTACTAGCTAGTGCCATAGTTTCAAGAATTGAGAAATTGAGCTTCTTGGTTAAATCACAACACTACAAACCCCATACACTATACTCCTCCTGTCCCAAAAAATTATACCTTCTTCAAAATAGTAGGCCGGTAAGGGGAGCTATAATAAAAATTTATTGTAGTTGGACAGTTTTGTCGTGGTATTTACTTACAATGCTAGAAAATGATATCAGATCTAAAGCAGCCTGTTTTATAGGGTCATTGGGAAAAACTTATATATATCGCTTGTCCGCTTCTCTTGTATAAGCATGAATAACACCTAGTGAAGGATAGTCATGGTTAGAGCTGTCAAAAGTTGACTTGACCCGAAATACCAACTCAAACTCGATTATTAACCGACCCATATGAACCCAAAAAATGGTGACCCAAACCCGACCTGAAACCAACCCTAAACCCGAGTTGACCCAAGTATGTGAGACTCGAACCCGAACATGAACTGACCTGGAGATGACCCGACCCGACCCGATTGTAACCCGTAAATTATTAACCTGAACTGAACCCGACTTGAACCGAAATTGACCCAAACTCGTTTTAACCTGACTTATTATTAACCTGACCTGAATTCAACCCGACCCTTTCCTAACCCGACCCGAATTTAACCCAACCTGTTACAAACCCAAACTGAAATCAACCCGACCTGTTATTGACCTGACCCAAATTTAACCCGACTTGTTATTGAACCGACCAGAAATTTACCAGACTTATTACTAACCCGACCCAAAAATTCAACCCGATCTGTTACTAACCCGACTCGAAATCAACACGACTTGTTATTGACACGACCTAAATTCAACCCAAATTGTTCCTGACGAGATTTCAAATCACCTTAAATGCAATTTAGACCACATTATTATTGTTGATCAAAGCATTTTGTCTAAGGAGACCAAGTCGGTCCAGGTCAGCAAAAGAAAGGAGCATCATCCTCAAATTTAAAAGTTAAATATAGTATATATTTGTAGTATGGTCAAAGGAGATAATTATCTTCCTAAATTATAAACTATAGTTCCCTAATATATTGCCATATATATTATAGTCAAAGGAAATAATTAGCTTGATAAAAATGATAATTATCTATTTATAATTAGTTGAACTCGAATATGACCTGACTTGGAAATGACCCGACCTGATTGTAACCTACAAATTATTGACTTGAACATAACTCGACTAGACTCCGAGAATGACCCGACTTGGAAATGACCCAACCTAATTATAACTCGCAAATTATTGACTTGAACCGAACCCAACTTGAACCCGAGAATGTCCCGATTTGAAAATGACCCGACCTGATTATAATCCGCAAATTATTGACTTGAACCGAACCCGACTCAAACCCGAGAATGACCCGATTCTAACCCGCAAATTATTGACTTGAACCGAACCCGAGAATTACCCTAACCCGTTTTAACCCGTGAAAACCCAAATTAAACCCGACCTATTACTCACCCGACCCGAAAGTAACCCGACCAATTATTAACCCGACCTAAACTCGACCCAAACCCGATAAGAAGCATGACCCAACCCAAACTCGACCCGCATAGGTTATGGAATTTATCCGAATTAACCCGAATTAATCCCAATTTGCCTTTAAACGACCAATTTACCAGTTTATAGCTTGCACCAATTTTATTAATTCAAGCACGAACATTTATAACAACAAATAATGATTATATATAGTTCCAAACGACATTATATGACCCCGAGATATATCCCCTAAAATTTCAAAACTTTTCGTAACCGAGCCCCCGAACCTCCAAAATTTCTCAAAAAGTGTGGATATTAGCCTTCAATTTCGGAATTTTTTGACATTTTTTTTGTACGGAAATAAAAATTGACAAAATGTTTACCATGGTCCCTAATACCGTCTGCAAATCCAATTGGTAGGGTGGAACCATCCAAATTGTCTTGAAACAGTCAATTTAACGATTCACAATTTGAACCGATTTCATTAATTCAAGCCTAACACAAACACTTATGACAACATATAATGATCATATATGGTTCCATACAACATTATATGACTCCGGGATGTATCCCCTAAAATCTAAAGTCTTTTCGACAACGGGCCCTGAAACCTCCCAAATTTCTCAAAATACGTGGATATTAGCCTTTAATTTTGGAATTTTTTGACTTTTTTTCGCCCGAAAATAAAAATTGACAAAATGTATACCATGGTCCCTAATACCCTCTAGGAGTCCAATTGGGTGGGTGGAACCATCCAATTTGCCTTTAAACGACCAATTTACAACTTGCACCGATTTCATTAATTCAAGCCTACCACGAACATTTATGACAACATATAATAATCACATACGGTTCCAAACGGCATTATATGACACCAAAATGTATTCTTTGGAATTTCAAGACTTTTCGACACCGAGTCCGGAAACCTTCAAAATTTCGCAAAATGCGTAGATATTAGTCTTTAATTTTGGAATTTTTTGGCTTTTTTTCTCGGAAATAAAAATTGCCAAAATGTTTACCATGGTCCCTAATACCCTCCGTGAGTCCAATTGAATGAGTGAAACCATCCAATTTGCCTTTTAAAGACCAATTTAATGGTTTACAACTTTCACCGATTTCATTAACTCAAGCCTACTACGAACATTTATGACAACATATAATGATCATATATGGTTCCAAACAGCATTATATGACCCCGAGATGTATCCTCTATAATCTTAAGAATTTTCGATACCGGGCCTCAAAACCTCTAAAAATTTTCAAAAAGCGTGGATATTAGCCTTCAATTTTGGAATTTTTTTACTTTTTTTCACCCGGATATAAAAAATGCCGAAATGTTTACCATGGTCCTAAATACCCTCAGGAAGTACAATTGGGTGGGTGGAACCATCCAATTTTCCTTTAAACGACCAATTTACCGGTTTACAACTTGCATCAATTTCATTAACTCAAGCCTCCCACGAACATTTATGACAACATATAATGATCATTTATGGTTTAAAAAAGTATTATATGACCCTGAGATGTACACCCTAAAATCTCAAATCTTTTCGACACCAGGTCCCGAAACCTAAAAAATTTCTCAAAACATGTGGATATTAACCTTCGATTTTTAGAATTTTTTTTGACTTTTTTTGCCCGTAAATAAAAATAGCCGAAATGTTTACCATGGTCCCTAATACCCTCTGGGAGTCCAATTGGATTGGCAGAACCATCCAATTTGCCTTTAAACGGCCAATTTACCGGTTTACAAGTTGCACCAATTTCATTAACTCAATCCTACCACGAACATTTATGACAACAAATAATGATCATAAATGGTTCCAAAAGACATTATACGACCCCGAGATATATTCTTTAAAATCACAAGTCTTTTCGACACCAGGTTCCGAAACCTCCAAAATTTCTCAAAAAACGTGGATACTATTAACCTTCAATTTTTGGAATTTTTTTGACTTTTTTCGCCTGTAAATAAATATAGCCGAAATGTTTAGCATGGTCCCTAATACCCTCCGGAGGTCCAATTGTGTAGGTGGAACCATCCAATTTGAATTTAAACTACCAATTTACCGGTTTACAAGTTGAACCGATTTCATTAACTTAATCCTACCACGAACATTAATGACAACAAATAATGATCATAAATGGTTCCAAACCAACGTTACATGGAACGCGGGACGTTCCGAAACTTGGTACGGGTGCCGGAACGTGGAACGTAGCCTTTAGAGTTCTCGGAACGTATGGTCATTTGTTTTATCAGTGCTTTGTAATTTATAATTTTATAGTTGATACTCCACTATTTACCATAAATTAATTATATATACATTAAAAAAAAAAAAGAAAGAAAAATAAAGCTGGAAATTGCATTTAATGTATTGCTCAATTCCCATGGCTATACTTGTGTAGACAATTAAAAAAGAAAAAAAAAATAGGAAAAGAAGGGGACATTAGGACATAGGGGTCCACAATCTTTATTAGACTTGTTTTCTTATCAGTTATTAGTCTTATCACTCTTCCATTCCACAATTCTTCATCTCCTTCCCCATTGATGAAACATTGAAAGTCTTTTAAACTTTCAATTATAAACGAAATTATAAACAAATGACAACCCAATTGTCACTCTTAGACTACAACTTAGATCGTACTACAAATGGGTTCTCCGTCGTCGACGAATTAGATCGCGAACTGGAACGCGTTAGTACCGCGTTTGGGTACGAACGTTCCGGTACAGGGAACGCGCTATCGTCCAGCGTTTCGGGTAACACTGTTCCAAACGACATGACCCCGAGATATATTCCCTAAAATCCCAAGTCTTTTCGACACCGGGTCCCGAAACCTCCGAAATTTCTCAAAAAACGTGGATATTAGCCTTCAATATTTGGAATTTTTTTTTGACTTTTTTCGCCCGTAAATAAAAATAGCCGAAATGTTTACCATGGTTTGTAATACCCTCCGGAGGTCCAATTGGGTGGGTAGAACCATCCAATTTGCCTTTAAACGACCAATTCACCGGTTTACAACTTGCACCGATTTTATTAACTCAAGCCTACAACAAACATTCATGACAACAAATAATGATCACATATGGTTCCAAACGACATTATTTGACCCCGAGATGTATTCCCTAGAATTTCGAGAATTTTAGAATCCGAGCCCCGAAAACTTCAAAATTTCTCAAAAAGCGTGGATATTAGCCTTCAATTTTTGAATTTTTTTACTTTATTTCGCCCGAAAATAAAAATTGACGAAATGTTTACCATGGTCCTTAATACCGTCCGGGAGTCCCATTGGATGGGTGGAACCATCCAATTTGCCTTTAAACGACCAATTTACCGGTTTACAACTTGCACTGATTTCATTAACTCAAGCCTACCACGAACATTTATGACAACAAATAATGATCATATATGGTTCCAAACAAAATTATATGACCCCAAGATGTATCCCCTAAAATTTCATGACGTTTCAACGCCGAGCCCCGAAACCTCCAAAATTTCTTAAAAAGCGTGGATTTTAAGCTTCAATTTTGGAATTTTTTTACAATTTTTCGCCCGAAAATAAAAAATGCCGAAATTTTTACCATGGTCCCTAATACCCTCCGGGAGTCCAATTGTGTTGTTGGAACCATCCAATTTGCTTTTAATCGGCCAATTTAATTACCGGTTTACAACTTGCACGGATTTCATTAACTCAAGCCTACTACGAACATTTATGACAACATATAATGATCATATATGGTTCCAAACGGCATTATATGACCCCGAGATGTATCCCCTAAAATATAAATACTTTTCTACACTGGGCCCCGAAACCTCTAAAATTTCTCAAAAAGCGTGGATATTAGCCTTCAATTTTGAAAATTTTTTATTTTTTTTGCTCGGAAATAAAAATTACCGAAATATTTACCATGGTCCCTAATACACTCCGGGAGTTCAATTGGATGGGTGGAACCATCCAATTTGCCTTTAAACGACCAATTTACCGGTTTACAACTTGCACCGATTTCATTAATTCAAGCCTACCACGAACATTTATGACAACAAATAATATTCATATATGGTTCCACACGGCATTATATGACCCTGAGATGTATCCCATAGAATTTCAAGATTTTTCGACACCGGGCCCAAAAACCTCCAGAATTTCTCAAAAAATGTGGATATTAGCTTTCAATTTTGGAATTTTTTGGCTTTTTTTCGCCCGATTTTAAAAATTGCCGAAATGTTTACCATGGTCCCTAATACTCTCCAATCCAATTGGATGTGTGGAACCATTCAATTTGCTTTAAAACTGTCAATTTACCGGTTTACAACTTGCACCGATTTACCGGTTTACAATGACTAATTTAATTAACTTGCACCGAACCTGACGTGAACCGAAATTGACCCAAACCCGTTTTAACCCGTCAAAACCCGAATTTAACCCAACTTGTTACTAACCTGATCGGAATTCAACCCGACCCGTTCCTAACCCGACCCGAATTTAACCCAACCTGTTACAAACCCGACTCGAAATTAACCCGATTTGTTATTGATGCGACCCAAATTCAACCCGACTTGTTAGTGACCCGACCCGAATTTTAGTTTTTTACCATATCTATTATTTACCCAACCTTAAATGCAATTTAAACCACCTTATTATTGTTGATCAAAGCATTTTGTCCTGGAAGATCAAGTCCGGCAGGCCAACAAAAGAAAGCAGCATCATCCTCAAATTTAAGAGTTAAATATTGTATATATTTGTTGTATGGTCAAAAGAGATAATTATCTTCCTAAATTATTGAATATAGCTCCCTAGTATATTGCCAAATATATTACAGTCAAAGGAAATAATTAGCTTGATAAAAATGATAATTATTAATATATTGTTAGTTAAACCTTGAACCCGAATATGACCTAACTTGGAAATGACCCGACCTGATTGTAACCTGCAAATTATTACTTGAACATAATCCAACTTAAATCCGAGAATGACCCGACTTGGAAATGACCCAACCTGATTATAACCCCTAAATTATTGACTTGAACCGAACCCGACTTGAACCCGAGAATGACCCGACTTGAAAATGACCCGACCTGATTATAATCCGCAAATTATTGACTTGAACCGAACCCGACTCAAACCCAAGAATGACCCGACCTGATTTTAACCCGCAAATTATTGACTTGAACCAAACCCGACTCGAACCCGAGAATTACCCTAACCCGTAAAAACCCGAATTAAACCCGACCTATTGTTCACCCGACCCGAATGTAACCCAACATGTTAACCCGACCCAAACCCGATTAGAAGTACGACCCGATGTGAACCGACTCAAGCATGACCCAACTCAAACCCGACTGGCATAGGTTATGGAATTAATCTAAATTGACCCAACCCGAGTACACCTGACCCACCCTTACCCGATCCAAGCCCGACCCGTTTACCCAAATTGACAGCTCTAGTCATGGTAGTGATGTAAAAATTCAAAAATGGTGAGGGATAGCAGTGGATTTTTTTACTTAAATTCTTATATTGTCTATATTAATCAAATGTGTCACATTATTTAGGGACGTGAGAGTGACTTATTTCAGTTTTGTTTCTCAGTATAACCATGAACAAGACCAGCAGAACAACACTTCATAAGTGAATTAACAAAAAGTCAAGAATCCGAAGTACTACAATACCTTTGATTTTGGTAAGGAGCTCTTCTTCTGAAACATATACTTTCTCTAATTCTTTCCCAATCTTACTTTCCCAAACACCGACCAGTTCGTTCATGGAGTAAACGTTACCTTCTGGTCTCAAATACATCGCCTTATTCAAGGTACGTGGATCATCCACTGCACTAATTGTAAAGGCAGCAACATCAATTTCTTTCACGAACACACCTATACATGAGAGTAAGAAAACAATTACTTCTTGCATTCTCGAAATTCCTAATAACAATACAATACAATATAATATCAATCTAGAAAATCTCTTATGCAGCCTATACAGGATAAGACAAAGGAGCTGAACTGCAATTTGACAGACCTTTGACATTTCCATCTCCAAAGATTGTAATTTTGTCCCTTGGAGGAGCTTTAATCCCAGGTTGAACCAAAGACGGGAGTAAATAGCTCATGAAGAAGTTGCAACAGATGTATGTGTATGGAATCTCTTCAGCTTCCACAAGCCGCCTTATTTCAGCTTTTCTTGAATAAAAATTATGGTCCATACCAGATATTTGCACCTTGTCTGGATCTGATCCAAATTCCGAAGGAATGAATCTCTGTGAAATTATAGGACTGTTAAGGATACAACATTGCATATAGAAGCATGATCTGGCATAAAAGTATAAAAAATTAGCACTCTTGGTCCAAGTACACTCTTATTTTTTTTGTCACATCATGGCTCCAATCACTGTATAGTCCCATGATCATATCATAGTTGCGTTGTTCAGACTTCAGAACGATAGCTAAAAACAAATGTTATCCTAATTTCTATTTCATTTAGGATGACTCGAACAGCAAGGGGTTTTTTTCCTTTTGTTTTCCACTGATTTAGCACTAAGAAACTCGTGTTGAATGGGATATAGTTGATTTATGTATCGGATGGAAATGCAACAAGACTATATTCTGTGTTCTAGCAGCGGTTTCCAACTTTCCATTTCCATGACAATGAGTAGGACCTCAAGTCATGGTAATATGGTAGGTCCTTACATAATGATTGGCATGCAAAGAGTTTTTCATATTGATAAACTGGGAATTATATCAAAAAGACCTTAAAACCTTTTAATTCTCAAATAGAGTTCGTGACTAAACTGACATGAACCCTCATTAAGCTCTACCAAGCCAAACTTGATGTAGTGGTAAGCTTCTCATAACTAGAAGTCATTGGACCAGATCCTTCTAGCGATACATTAAGGCCTTAAGGGTAGGGTTCCCTTGCATTGCCCTTGCCCTCAGGTCTGACCTTTAGGCTGAGCGAGGGGATCCATGAAGTGTACAGCTCTAACTAAGTCATTTACCTTACACCTTATCTATCCTAAATAAATCTTCATTGAATTCTAATCACACACAATTCTTCCCTGGAAAATAAACAAGGGATCCAATCATATTAGGAATTACGTACTAATCAACTCAGATCTACTCTAAGCACAAGATTTGGAGAGCAATATGGAAATTGTGAGCAAGTGTGAATTAAACATATAGCCATGAGTCCATGACTGTTCTATTCACCTTTAAAAAATCTTGACAAATAATATTTAGATAAAGGTCAATAAGATTTATTAAACGCAAGTTCACTATAATTTCATATAAGCTCAGGTAAGTTCGAAAGCTCATCTAAAGTTCGGATGAGGAAATACAAGTAAAAAGAGCAACAACCTTTGTTACTGCTGAGTACATCCTAGTACAACCACTATGCCACCACTATTATAAAATGCTCACCACAGTCACAAACAAAGCAATCACACTAATTAAACAAATCCAAAACAATGATTAAAATAATTGTGATTAAGCATTAGAAAATTAACTCTACTAATTGTACGTGTTCTCAACTGCAATTAAATATACTTTTTCTCCACATCTAAATCATCATTTTCTCAATAGATGTAGATTTGCATGTTTCCATGATCCCAGCAAACCTAATTAACAATTAAACAAAACAGCACGAAAACAATAATCTACTGTATCACATTATCTAAGTATCATAATTCAAACTATAAATAATTAATGAAAAAGAATTGACCTTTATACAACCAGCAAGTTTAATAGCACGAATCAAACTCTTCTGAGCAAGAACTTGCTTAGATGGGATAGCACAAATTACAACATCCACTTTTTTCACAGCTTCAAGTAAACTCTCCTCATCTTCCAAAGAACCCTTCAACAAATATTATCAAAAATAAATAATTAAATACAGAAATACCCACAAAAATTAATGAATTACCCAGAAATACCCAGAAAAAATTAAGAAGAGGGTAGAAAAAAGACCTTAAAAAGAAGGGCACCAGCATCTAAAAGAATTTGGAGTTTCTGAGATTTTAGAGGGTCGGAAAATGATGTTTCTCTGATAAGAGCAAATGTAGGGTGGGATGCATCAATACTAGCTTTTGCGATGTGATAACCCAATTTTCCAGTTGCTCCAATTATTAATATTCGGCTTTTCTCCATTTTCCGGTTACCGGAAATATCATCACACTAATTTTGCCCTTTTAAAAGTTTTTCGACTTTTTTTTAAAAAAAAAAAAAAGTTATGGGCGTTTGAGGTTGAGGCTTCTGTTGAGTTGATCAACATTCGGGCCGGGCTTTAACATCAAATGTCTTTCCAAATCCGTAAAAATTGATGGGTTTTTAACTAAAAAGGTATGTTTGGCTTGCTCAAATCCGTTCTTTTCCAAACCGGACCGTAGTTTATCAACTCTAGAGTTTTAATATGTGATTAATTTTTAATTTTATTTTGGTGTACAATGAACTAATGAAGTACAGTAATCTTTACCCACATGCTACATGTGATGCTCATTCTAAGTATGTTACGGTGTACATGTGTTTTGCTCGTATATTTTATTGAGCACATGTTCTAAATTAGAGCTCATATCTACGATAAGTTCTAAACAAGCTCATATCTATTAATGGTGAGCTTGCTGCTCATATACATCTATCAATAATATAAGCGCAAAAACTTTCATCTAGACTAGAGAATTAGAGATGGATGGAGCAACACCAAAAGAATAGTGAAAAAAAAAAAAAACACAGATGTGGGAGTATTAATTATAATACTATCATTATCTTCACTATAATGATAGACTAAAAAAAAATATTGTTATACTACTCGTAGTAAAAAAAATATGGAGTAATTTTACTTTCTATATTATTCTTTTTGTTCGTCTTGTTTAGTTTTTTACATGGTATTCAATGCAGAACAGAAATATATAATTAATATTATAAAAAAACAAAAATGGATTAAATCATACAGTATGGTTTGTTTCAATTAGAGACAAGGTGGTATACAATAATACAAATAATTCAAAATTTTCTTTGTAAAAAAAAAAAAAAGAGACCTCTACTCTCTAGCTACCGTAGTAAGACTCACCAACCCTACCCAATTCCAAACACATTAGACATCATCCATCACCCAGACAAATAACAGAACTTCATCCCAGTCTTCTGCTTCGACTAATCCTAGGATTGATCCCAGTAAGTTCCCCTTCATAGCTAAGCTTTGGTCGCTTAACTTCACGCACCTGCCCCTTGCGGCTATTGACCGCTTTTTTATGCTGCAACTGCATAAATTTAAAAAGAGCACATCAGAGAAAGGAAACCAAGCAATCACAGATGAGCTTAACATAGTTCACAAGATGAACAAAACAATAGTTCTAATCAAGTACCTTGTACTTCTTCCGTGGATTTTTTATTTGCTTCTTTCGATCACGAGTAAGTCCTCTATTTTTCTCCATCTAAAAAATATATATTATAACAATAAATATTAGGACAATCCATAGGAATTTATGCAATTTGCCATACTTATTACAGGAGATAGTGAGCTTGTAGTTTACCTGTGTGGAAATGTGACGTTTTCCATCAGCAGTGATGTCTGGTTCATATTGATCTTGTGGGTTTCTGAAAGAGAGATTATTGTGAGAAACATGCCATGAAGCCAATTAGAAAAGTACATGAAGTGAAAAAAGTTCGGTAACTCACCTTGAAAACTTCGCTGCCTTCAATTTAAGCTTGGCTTCTTTTTGTTTTTTAACTAAATTGTAGAAGTCCTCTGATTCATTAATATCTTCATCACTATCTCCAGCATCAGCTCCATTGCCAGTTTTGCCACCTAAACTCTCTGGCTCATTATCAAGTTCAGCATCATCATTATCTTTTGACTTGATTCCAGCTCTAGCCAAAACCCGAAGTTCGTGTTTCCATCTCCTTTCTCCTAGATCATCTCTTTCTGGCAAGTCATCATCGCCAGAAACACCCTTCAAAAGTTGCGAGAAATAACAGTTAATACCATTATACCAGATCGCCAGAGAATGGTTTTCGTGGACAGTACATAAGCAGTCTGATTATACAGATGTCTAGTGTAAAACAAATAAATTCAAATTTCCTCATGGGGTGGGGGGAGAGAGGGGTGGTGGATCTTCTGACCTGATTAATAGCAAAGAAGATACTAGGAAAACTAGCAATCGCTGGACAATGTAGACATAATGAATAGGATCACAGACAGATAGTGTGATTCAGAGCAAAGGTATCAAGTTTGGCAGTAAATAGTATTGAGCAAATGAGCTTATTAATTACTGCAGTACAAGTTGACTATGTATACCTGTCCAGAAATAAAAGTCACATAGTCCCAAGACTCCCACCACCTCAAATTCAGAATATAAAAGAATTTTACTCAAAGACCCATTATTACAGACTTATAGTTTGACTATTCCCATAATCTCCTGGTCTTTACATCACTCTATACAGGCAAGGGTATCATGGTAAAAACCAATCACTCGGCATAGCTAAAATAATACTCTTACAGTCTTACTTCATATGTGATGCTAATATCTCTAGACAGAGTGAGTATGTTTTTTGCAGTGAACAGTCCTTCACAAGCTGTAGCTAGACTGTCGACGCTCTCTTTAATAAAGTAGAAAAACAAACTTAAGCCACAATGAAGCTTACAAAGTCTACTCACCAAAAAAAAGGAGGAGGGGGGGAGGCCTTAACTAAACCAGGAAAACATTAATGATCAACAGATTGACATCCCTCATCCTACGGCATATAGCTGGAAGGTGGCAATGAATCAGAAACTCATTATCACCAATCAGGACCTCTTCTCAAATATTAAAAATTTCCATCATCACTGCTCTGAGCCGATGAGGCATGTTGCTTTAAAACTTCAATTAACATCAGGACACAAAAAAAAAATTAATATCCCATGCTCCACTATTCTCAAACATCTGGCAGGGAAGGATCAGAATCCAATGGCCACCAGAACTGCCAAACCATGCTCTCCAAGGCATGAGAAATTTTAGCATTTATATCAATTTAAGTTATCAAAGTATGGGAATGCTGCTACAAAATCAAACACATTGCAATCAACATATTGACACAAGCGTTATTGCCAAAAGAAAAAAGTTAACAATGTACCTTGAGCCTGTTTCCCTCGGCAGGAATGATCTGGGAGAGTTTACTAGAAAGAGTGGAGGCACGCCTACTGCCACGAGTAGCACCCTCCAAAGCCATGACATCATCATCATAATCATCAGTCGTTTCAAGCTTTCTGTTAATTTTACCAATCAAACCACAACAAAATCATAAATTAAAAAAAAAAAAGAAAGAAAGAAAAAAAGAAAAAGGTCCATCTCACATAGGAAATATCTGTGTTAAACTAGCAAAACAAAATATACCCAGGAAGTTTCTTTAGTTTCATGTTCTTGCTGTTGTCGGTTTTGGGCGCAACAGAATCGGCTCTCTGCTTCAATTGTTTCTGAAGTTCAGCTCGATATTGCAACATTTGCACACTCTCTGAGCTCATTGGCTGTTCCTGCCATACAACACGTCATTACCCTTAACTTCTAAAATTAAAATACAGACATGAGAAGCTGCTAGAAGAGATAGAAACTAGAAAACTCTACCTGGTCTTTTATCATCCTAAGCTTTTTCTCATTAACCTCAACAGATTGCTTTTGAACTGGTTCAGCAGCTTCCCTTAACTGCAGTACAGTATAGATATCGGAGATCTTAGCAAACAAGAAAACAATCAAGTTAAGTAATCAAGTTTAAGAAAGTGATTACCTTAGATGGTTTTTGTTTCTCAACTGATGGCCCTGTGAGCTCATCAAGTTTAGCAAAAAGATCCGACGATAATTCATGCCCTTTCACAATTGGCTTCTGAGCACTTGCAATATCACTTGTTTGGACCAACACATCCTCAAGGTTGTCTGGAATATGCACATCAAGTTCTTTCATCTAAACAAGAACAAGAGAGTGAAATGAAAATTAGATTTTCAAGATCTAGGTTTCAGAGCACAAATAAAAAGATGGAAATGAATCAGAGAATTAATATTTAGCAGTTACACTAGGCAAAAAGCACGATGCAGTCACTCTAGGCAACATAAACACAAACAAATATAACCATAAATGTTGGTCAGGATTTCTGTATTGCAAGCAAAATAGAATCCACAAAAAGGAGTAAAGGGAAAGAAGTAAGCCCAAGACAGGCAAAAGCATATAATATTAGCAAGCAATGGCAGATACCACTACAATAGAAATAAAGGCAACTATCAAGACGTGGAAGATAATGGAAGGAAGATAAATAATTTAGTTCAGACACGTGAAGTGTAGAGGAATCATAGCAGAGGGATAACAGTAGAAGGATTTGGGATAGTTGGTCAAGAGATCAAGGCCTCACAAAATCTCTGCAGACAAAGCTAATAGGGAAAGAGATACAAGTAGCTCACTCCAAACATGCACGCTAGGTTTAGATATAGTAGGAAAAAAATTTACAACCACCCTGTAATATCCCATCAAGATGAGCCTGGGTAAATGATGACCTAAACTCTCCCATACCAAAGCTGTCTTGGAAAATTTGAAACCCCAACATCTAAATGCCATACATATTGCACAAGCATCCTCAAAGAGAGCATAAAGTTAAGGGAAAAGACCAGCTAACTCAACAGCTCATCAAGCACTTCTCCCGGAGTTGAACAAAATAAAATAAAATAAACAATAGGAAAAAGAAAAGAAAAAATAAAAAAAAATAAAAAAAAACCTTTTCCAATAAGCTTTTGATTTCCACAAGGCGGGCAATAACTGGATGATCACGAATAGGCTGCCCTTCAGATTTCAGAAGAAGGTAAAAAGTAATAGCTTGGCAATAAGCAAGCAACAGGAGTTTTTTCACTTCCAGATAATGTAATCCTTCTTTCTTCGCATTCTCCCCCTTCCTAACCTGCAAGCAGCGAAAAAGGCTCAATGTATGCTGAATGGCATGTTGAAATTAAAAAAGAAAAAAAAAAATACAAGTACAAAGGCATCAAGCATACCAAGCTAAAATACATCGCAGATTACATGAAGAAAATCAACATACATTTTAAAATTAAATGAAAGTATAACATATACCTTAGAAAGAAGGGGATTGACATGGGTCTCGAGTTGCTTGGTTGCATCATTTAACTCAGCAAGCAATCCAACTAATTCTGGAGCCGAACTGCAGCAGAAAGAACAGTAAGCGCAATAGACATCAGTTCCAAATTCAGTTAGTGCCTTAGTTAAGTTAAAGTCATTTCAAATACATAACCATTTGCATTTGAAGTAAACACCGAGTTATGGAAACCAGGAACAGACTTCTCAAAGCAACAGAAACAGTGATTATTTGCGTTCTCTATCA